CCAGCCGTTTGGCAACTCTGCGCGGACGTGGGAAGGGGAGAAGGGGGTGCACCCAGGGCACTCTGGCCTGGCTGCTGGAGAATACTTTGTGTGGGGCCCTCAGGCCCAGTGCCAGGCATCGAGACGGGATGTGTCGTGCCCAGGTGAGTCCCAGCGGACGAGTGGGCTGCACCGGCTTCCAGGCAGTTTCCGCAGTCAGTTCCTGTTTGATAGACGTAAAGGTGAAGAAGTGCCTTGAGGTCGATCGTGCTAAAGGCAGCGAAGGGCCGAGGGAAAGGCGCTACAGGCCTGTGGCCTGCACAGCACAGAGGATCTGCCGACCTGTGGCATGAGCCTAGTCGGTTTTCCCAGGCCCTGGCAGCTCGTTCGGAAGAGACGGTCAGCGAGCGGCTGCGGAAGGAAGTGGCGACTTGCACCACGTGGCCCCCGAACTCGGTCCAGAGTGGCTGGTGCCCCGCGCAAAGGCAGCGAGCCCATGTTGCAGGGCAGGCTGCCCCGTGGGGCGCGAGTCCCCGCCACCCAGCACGGGGGCCTGCGGAACGCCGCGGCCTCAGTGGCCCCTCCGGGAAGCCGGGCCTGGGCTGCGGGGTGGGCCTCCCGGGCGAACTGCCCGCGTCCGTCCCGGAGCCTGCGGCCGCTGGGCATTCCGCGGGTCACATGAGCCGCTGGAGTAAGTGTCCGGAGAGCAGTGCTGTCTGCATTCCAAGGGAGTCAGTGGTGGGGATCCCAGGCCCATTTTTACCTGACCTTTCCCTGAGCGTGGAGGCGCATGCTGCGGCGGTCCGGGCAGAGACCTCCGCAGCCGGAGCGAGCTGGAGCCCTGCCTGTGTGCAGGTCTGCCTGTTTTGTTGCCCTGGAGACGGAGCAGCGTGGAATTCTTTCCCCCGACCAGAAATAGTTTCCTGTGCCTTGTGACTGGAGCGCTTTCCTTCTTGGTGGGCAGCCAGCTGTGAGTGCGTGTGGGCAAGCGCTTGGACGAGGCCGTCCCTGAGCCCAGCGGTTGGGGCCCGTGTCCGCGGCACATGTCGGAGTGCGGCACTGGCCTGCGTCTCCCGTCTCCGGTCGCGCCGGAGGGTGTCAGGTTTCCCGGAGCAGTTGCTCTTGATTTATGTCTCTGATGGCACCTTGCTGGTTATGTCATGCCTGCCGCGCCTCCGAGCCCGTCAGCTGCCCACCTTGGCTGGCTGGTGGCCTGCAGCACGGCCCTGTCTTCTCCACCCGCCACTCTCCCGGCGGCCTGCATCCTTCCCTGCACGGCGGCCCTGAGGAGAACCCCTCTTGCGAGCGTGGAGGCCGCGCGGCACCTTCAGCCGCAGGACCCGGGCTCTTGCGGGCCAGAGAGCAGGCGCCACCTGCAGCAGTGGTGCGTGCAGAGGCTGCGAGGCTCCAGGTTCCAGTGGAGGGCCTGCGGATCGGCTTGAAGCATTGATTTATTAAAGCATTTGTATGCCACCCAGTTGTGCCACCGCAGCTCTGGGCAGCTCACAACCGCGAGATAAAGACACAGTAAAAATGTAATAAAAACCACAACACATTAAAAACAGCAGTAAAATGCAGCAAAAAGTGCAAAACCAAGGTCTTATGGCAAATAGTTATTAAATTACTTTTTCAAAAGGAAGAACTTTGCCTGGCGCCAAAAAGAGAGTGAGGCGCATTCCACATGTGGGGTGCAGCTGCAGAAGAGTCCCTGCTCCTTGCGTGCCCCCCTCCCCCCCTCTTTGCTGCAGCAGGTCTGCCTCCGTGAAGCTGCACAGGTGGGGGGGGGGGCACAAGCCACTGCAGCCCCAGGAGCGGTGGAGAGGGCCTCTGGGGCGCAGATGCTCGCAGCGTGGACGGGGGTGGTGCGCGGGGTCCCCACAGCAGGGTCGGGCTGTGAGGCAGCGGGGAGTGAGGAGCTGATGCTTCGTGATCGCAGTGTGGTCCAACCCTAATCTGGCAAAGAGCACGGGGTGTGGGGGAGGATTTGCTCTAGCCTGCTTTCCGTCCTGAAGACCTAGTTTTCTGTTTGCAGTGAGGGTTTCTAAATTGCTTGTTCACTGATGTGTTTTTGCATTCTGCGTAATGCATATAACAGCTCTGCACCCAAGTCTGTCTCCACAACTGCACAATGCGGAGAGCAGCTCTTTCACCGTGCAAGTATGAATGGGGACTTCTGCTGTGCGGGGAGTCGGGCTTTGCGCTGCAGCGGTGCGCAGACTGCTCCCCCGAGCCGTGTCTAAGGGCCAGGTGTGTGGCTGGGGCCGGGGCCTCCGGGGGTGCCGTGCCCTTGCAGCCCCCAAGCCAGGCAGCAGGCCGTGTGCCATGCCATGCCGTGCCAGAGGCAGTCCCTCCAGGGTTGGGAAGGAGGCCGGGAAGCAGCCTCACCTCTCTGCTTGCCACTGCCGTGGCGAGAGGCCGGCCCTGCTCTGCCTGACACAAGTAACGCCTGCGTGTCCTTTGCTGACTTTCCGGCTTTGTTTTCACCTTGCCCAGCCATGGCCTCTGTCTCTTTTTGCTGCGGCTGGAAGGGGACTTGATCACTGAGTCGGCAAATGGCTTTTCTGTCTGATGCATGGTGACTAGACAGGGCCCTCTGGCACCTTTGCCCGCCCGCCGTGTCCTCGATCCACACGCCAACGTCGCGTCCGATTTTTCAGGGTTGCAGAGAAGCTGCTGCCTCAGTGCTTTTTCGCCTAATCCAGATGACAACCCTGCTGGGACTGACATGGCTGTTCTGCCACCACGAATGTCCTTCTTGGGACGCAGAGAGAGCGAGCGGCACGTCCTCGCCCCCGCCTCCCCGTGCCACGGCGTGGCTGCGGAGCTGAGCTGCCCTGCCCTGCCCTGCCCTGCCTTCCCTCGTCGTGTCTCCTGAGCAGCGGGCGGAGGGAGGGCAAGCCCTTTGCTTTGGAGGCCTGACCGCCTGCCGTGATCCCTCCGTGGCCTTCAGACCCGATGGTGCGTTCAGTTCATGCTTGTGCCAAGGCACCCTCTTGGGCACTGGGCGGAAGTGGTGCAGGAGGGCCAGAGGCGTGTCCAGCTGCTTGCTCGATGGCTGGAGCATTTGCGCCTGGGGGTTTTCCGGAGACGTGTGGTAACTGAGGAGGAAGACAATCACAGGAGGCACAAGAATTCATTTATCCAACAAACTCTGTACAATCACAGCTTGTTGTGGGCTCGGAGTCCCTTCTCCACAGGAATATTTTACTATTGCAGAAGGTTAACGCCATACACATTTCCATTAAGAAAAACCACAACAGAAAAATACTCAGCTTTGTATCCAGAACTGGGTGGATGAATGCTGCGCCAGATGAAATAGCAGCTTCATGTAGAAAACCAGTCCACCATTAGTTTAAAAAAAAAAAAGCGTTGCCTGCGTTGTCCTTCAGTACCTCACTGGCATCTCACTGCAGGTCTCCGGATGCCTTTCTGCTGTGGCCTTCTGTGCTCTGGTGTCCCCTGCTCTTTGGCATGGCAGTTCCCAGCATTTGTGGCCATTGGCCTGCTGGCAGTGCTGATGGGAACTGGAAGCGGAAACATCGGGGGTGCCAGTCTGGGGAAGGCTGATGTGGATGTTGGAGAGCAAAGGGGACAAGGAGCCCTGAGGTGACGAGGCTGCGCAGCCGTTTCTCAGCTCCGCTTTTTCCGAGTGGCCTTGTGCACGGGCAGGGGCCTCCGGGGCAGGGGCAGCGTCCCGGCCTGCCACAGTTCAAGAAAACAAACCGTGTTGCATGCCCCTTGTCCCATTTGGGGAAGGATCAGGGTGACCAAAGCAGCCTCCATGCAAAGCCAGCCCCGACACTGGATTGAGATGTGTCCACATCGTCAGTTGCATGGGTGAGTTGACCAGGCACGGGAAGCTGCCCCCTGTCTCAGGTCTGGCTATTTGTCCACTGGCAGCCGAGGGCGAGGGCTTCGTGCTGACTGCTGTCTTGCCTTTCAGAGAAGTTATGGCTCCCCCCACTTTGGGAAGCTGGTCATGCAGTGGGACTACCTGGGGAGCTCTGTGTCGTTTACCTGCCAAGCAAGGGAGTGTGTATTTCCAAGAGAGTCCCGTGCTGCTACTTTTGAGAGGTTACGGATGCTCCGTGATGTATGTTTGCAGAACTGCTCTCATTCTCCACTGAGAGTGCTTTGCGCAACAGCCGCCCCATGAAGCGCAGCCACTGCGCCGTCTTCCCAGGGCCCAGGTCCAGTGCGGCTGTGCTCCCCGCACCATGACAGCAAAGCCGCAAGGGGAGGCAGTGCCCATGGACGACTCCAGCAGCCTCAGTGTGGGTCTGCCTACACTCTTGCCCAAATGTGCTTGATTTCGTGAAGGCACCGACAGCTTCCCTCCTGCAAGACGCCTTCAGACTCTTTGTCTTTGCAAAAACAGATGCTGCAGATCAGTGTTGGCATCTGTTGGGGGGTCGGGCTGAGCAAGGTGTCCGCGGTGCATGTTCATGGCTTCGTGGAATTTGAGCCTGCTCAGGACTGTTCCTCTGCACACAACGTCTAGCCTCGTGGAGTGTTAGTCCTGCGAGTGTCTAGCTGGCTTGTATGGAGCGAGGCCTTGGAACAGCTGCCCAGAGGCTCAGGAGGGGCATGGAGGCTCACCTGGAAGTGCTGTGCCTTGGACCGGGCCTCCTCCCTGCCCCCCCCCCCCCGACAGGCAGAGCTGGATGGAAATCCTGACTCATGAAACCCGCTGGGTGCCCTGGGCTGGGTGCCAGGCTGGCCTCCTCGCACACTTGTGGCACAGACTTCTAGGAGTGCAGTGAAAGCGGCAGGTTCTCGATGCGCAGGAAGGGCATTGCACCGGCAGAGATCCTGCATGGGGGGGGGGGGGCAGTCGCATTTCTGTGACGTTCTCCCGCGCAGATGGGGGCAGCCTTCTCTGCAAGGGCACGGCCCTGCACCGCCGGTTTGGGGTCAACATCAGCAGTGGGAGAAGGTGGCTGCCAGGCTCTTGGGCAGGAACAGGAGGGCTGGAGCAGACTTCGTCAGCTCATGTTTCCTTCCTTTTTTTTTCTCCTCAGACCACCAGAAACTGGAACGTGAAGCTCGGATATGCCGGCTGTTGAAGCACCCGAACATCGGTGAGTGCCCCGCAGGAGGCCTGCACCGGGCCTGCAGCTGGCTCGTGATTTCTCTCGGGCGATGGGCGGGGGTTTGCGGCTGCCGTGCCAGCCCCGTTTTGGGATGCAGATGCAGGGGCAGGGAGCTCTCGTCTCGGGCGTGGGGCGCTTCCGTCTTCCCACCGGGCAGGCAGACTCTTCCCCAGCGAGGCAGCACCCAGCGGCCCCTTCTCCGCCCCCCGCTCTGCATCCCTCCTCTTGGCCCGCTGCCCTGCCCAGAAGCGGAAGGCGGCGGCTGCTGTGACCGCTGGATCGCCCCTTGGCTTGCCCCGCCTGCTGCGGCCTCCGCACCTGCCCTGCTAGCTCTGGCCAGAGGCGTGTGCGGGGGCAACACCCAGGCTCCCCCGAGGGGCTTTGGAGCAAACCTGCCCCCACCCTTCTGTTGCGAGAGCAGCTGCCCCGCTAGTCTGGGATGCTGGCAGACAAGGGCGCGCAGGCCGTGTGCTTCCCCTCCCGCACCGTGTGGCGTGCAGGGGCCTCCCCCCTCCTAACACCTGGGCAGGACCCTGTGGGCACGACTCTGCAATGAAACACTTCCCCTGACAGGCGCACCGAAACACCCTGGGAGCCGGGGAAGCCTGGAAGTGCTCCCGCGGAAGCCAGGGCGCCCCCACAGCCCCCAGCCGGCATGGCATGGCCACTCGTCGCCCCTGCTGAGAAAGGCCCCTCGCCACGGCCAGGCCCGGCACACTGCTGGGGTGGGAGCTAGCAGCCAGGCCCCGGAGGAGCGTTACTCCTTGGGGCCGCCGGCATCACTCTGGAGCCTGGCGAGACCCCGCCGCATCTCCCAGTGCGCCCAGGCTGGGGCCGGTCCTGGAGCAGGAGGAGCCTTCCTTGCCGGCCGCTGTGGGGCCAAGAGGTGGGAGGGAAGGCCCAATTTCTTCTCCCTTTCTGGTGGAAACATTTGGGGTGGGAAAGAGTTTGAGGTGGGGCTGCAAGTTGCTGAATGATTTCCCTCAAAGCCTGAACCAGGAGGCGCAACCAGTGGGTTGTGTGGGACTCCCAGGTGGCTCTCGGCCGGGTGGTCTGTGGCACTCTTCCAAGAAGTTTTGGGGCCGGCCGTGGGGGCCATTGCTGCGCTCTTTTGGAGCCTCCTGGAGGGGTCTCCAGCAGGTGGTGTCCAGGGGTTGTCCCGGGGAGCAGGCCTGTTGTCCTGGGAAAGAGGAGGCTTTGGCCTGGAGACTCAGCTCGGCATCCCAGGGACTCTCATAAGGCAACTTCAGGAAAGACAGTAGGAAGAGACGGTGCGGAGGAGTAAGGCAGGCCAGGAAGGGGCTGAAAGGTCTGCCCGCGGTGGCTTTCTGCAGCTGCCTCCGCCCCAGCCTGCTTTGTGGGTCGAGAGACCGGGAACCCTGAGCTTGCCACGAGGGTAAGCGCTCGCGGCTGGGGAAGGGCCGGCCGCGTTTCCCGTCTAGGGTCCCGTGCCGCGGCAGAACCGCACGTGTGAAGCAGCCCCCCGTGCAAGGAGCTGCTGATGCTCCTTCCAGGCTCCTCAGCCAGCAGGGACACGTCGCCTCCTCTCGTGCCTCGCCTGCGCTCTGGGACCCACCCCCACTTCTGCCACCTGGCTCCTCTCCCCGGGCACTCATCCCAGGGCTGCATTCACATGCTCCGGGCACCTTTGATGCGGTGCCTTCCGCTGCCAGCTCCCAGCCCTTTGACCACAGGCTTCTGCATAAAGGGCTGCCGATAATCTCCGGTTCCTCTCTCAGAATTCCCTCGCCACTCGCTGGAGCACCGCTCGCGCCGGGTCCAGGTTTCCATGGTTTTCATCTTGTGAGCAGCTTTATTTCCTCTCACGCGGAGGAGCCAGGACCGGGACAATTACCCAGCTGGAGGGTGTGCTGAAGGACTGAGAGCAAGTGGATGGATCGTGGGAACCAGTTCAGTCTGAATTCACAAAAGAGGAAAAATAAGCTGTGCTTTGGACAAAAGTGCCATTTACTTAACCTGCCAGGCTGCCTGCCCACAAGAGTCTCGTGCAGTTCTGCTGATTGCATCTTGCTCGCTGTGGTGCGGCATCCAGGAAGGGGAGAGGAGCCTGTCCGCAAAAGGGAAGCGGCCTCGGCTGGGACTCCCGTTGCCTTGAGGAGGAGCACGCGCCCTCGTCTCCACCCAGCTGGAGCAAGGTGTCCCCGGGGGCTGCAGCCCTGCGCCTCACTCCCTTCCCTCTCCCAAGTGCCACATGCCATTTGCCTGGTGTCTCGCCGCCGTTGCGCTGCGGTTTTCTGCCTGCGGAAAATAATCTGGAGGGAAGGCACAGCGCTGCGCTAGCTGCAGGCCAGATACTTTGGAGGGAGCTGCCGCCCCACCCACTGCCCAGTTTCCCAGCCTCAGGCCGGCCCCGATCAGCTGCTGCGCTCACTCGCTGCGCGCCCCCTCCTGCACCCACAAGCCGTCGGGGGCAATGAGCAGGACACCGTGTACCGCCGGGAACTCATGTCTATGGGTTGATTTGCTTGCTTGCTTACCTGGTTTATGTGCCACCTGAAGAGCCATTAGTCCTGCCCGCAGCATTGTGGCCTCTTGAAGTGCACAGAGCGTGAGCCCCGAGCTGGTGTTGCTTCCCAGGAAATGCAGGAGTTGCCCCCTCGAGCCCGCTGGACTCTTGCTCTTGTGCTGGGCTGTGCAGGCCACAAAGCCCTGGCGTGAGAGCCCCATCTGTTGTTCCAGCAGGCAGGACGCGGACGAGGACGTAGCCATTACTGGGGAGCAGGGCCTGGCCACATATCAAGAGAAGTGCTGAGCGAGGAGAGCTGCCTGAGGGGACGAGTCCGGCCCTTTGTCCTCCAGATGCGCAGCAGCATTCCTCCTCCTCTCGCACAAACCAGCCCCAGGCCAGGAAGTCTTCCCTCTTGAATCCAGATCTTCCCAAAACCGTCTGGGCGAGCAGGCCTGGGATTTTAGGGTTGTAGTGCCAATATTGATATACACACGCATCACAGCAATCCCCCTTTGAACTGATGACTGATCTGAAGCACGTGAAATCTCTCACCATTTCCGTTTCTTCATTGTTGACAGGGAAATTCTGTAGTTCTCTTGTAGCCACGATTTTAGTTTGCTTAATATTCAGCTGCAGTCCTGCTTAGGCACTTTCACTTTTGTCAGGAGTCGTGTCAAGTGATTGCTGCTTCCACCATTAATACGGCATCATCCACATATCTTCAGCCAGTGATGTGTCTTCCGCCAGTGTTCACTCCTCCCGATTCTAATCCAGCTTTCCTTCTGATACATTCTGTACACAGTCTGTACAGATAGGGAGATAAAAGGCATCCCATGGGAAGCCGTTCTGTCCTCCATCTTCCTACCAGTAGCTTGTTGCTTGTGATGCAGGTCAGGACAGCCAAGTGCTGGGGCACCCGCGTTTCTTTCGGGGCTACCCAGAGCGTCTCATGATCCACAAAGTCAAGGGTTTGCTGTGGTCTAGAAAGCAAAGACTGACCTTCTGCTGGAATTCTTCGGAATTTTCTTCTGCCACCTTTTACGTGTGCTTCCTGCCTGTCCTGTCAGCTGCGAGTGCGGCTTCTGTCATCCACGCAGGCCTTTTCATTCTTGCCGCGACAGGAACTGTCTCTTGGCATCCTTCCCTAAGAGTGTTGCTGCTCGCAGTTCAGCTCACGGTTCTTCTGGTTCACAGACAATTAAGTTGAGCTATGCAAGTATGTTTTCTATATGGACTTTAAATACTTCAGGGATGTGGCTTAAGTTACATTTTGGTGCTATGCCTCTGCTCCTTCATTTAACATGACTCTGATTTTTGAAATTAAGAGCTGATGGCCGCAGCCACAGACTGCCCTGGCCTTGTTTGGCAGCAGGAAGACACTCTCTCCACTGTCTCCTTCAATTGCACAATCTGTTCGACTTCTGTCTTGACTGTCAGGTGAAGTCCGTGCATGTGGCTGTCTGAGTGGCTCCTTGAGGGATGTGCTTGCAATTAGCAGGTCGCTGGCTTCACAAAATTCTACGAGTTGTTCTCCTGCTTCATTTCTTACCCCTGATGACCTTGATTCATCCGCCATGTTGTGGTTGGTTCTGTCTGTTGCTAAGATTCATGGAAGTAATGAGCTGGTTGGATTTTTAAGTCAAAGAATGCCAGGACTCCAGAACTAATCCAAAAGATGCTGGGATTTTTTCTGGAGGGTTCAAAGCCAGGTCCAAAACCCAACACTTTCCAAGAGGCAAGCGCTGGCATCCCTGAGTGAACCAGTCGGCAGTCCTGGACGCACCCGAGCCGTGAGTCAGGCCTGGGAGGGGAGTGGGTTTAGGGCCCAGGCACCTAAAAGGCAGGTGCCTTTGGCCAGATCTTGCCTTCCTATCAAAGGTGGCCTCTTCCTTCTCACAAAGGTGCACACCCAGGCGGTATATTTGGGGTGCCCATGTGGCTTTAAGAGATTGTGTTCGGGGGCGTGGAAGTGCGCATACGCCTGGGCAGATGGGCCCACTGCCCCCTTGCTGCCTCTGCCTGAAGGACAAGGGCATGCCGAGGTGCTCTCTGCCAGGCGACTGGCTGCTGAGGGGAGCAGCCGGGTGATCGAACGCTGGCTCTTCGCAGTGGCTTTCGCTTCGGAACAGTGGGCTTATTCTCTGCCTCTTATCACAAGGTGCCCAGCACTGGCAGCAGCTCTGAGAGAGCAGCCTTTGCTAATGCCATATCAGGGATCCCGGGATAGAACACAGATCCTCTGATCAGCGTGACTTACCCTGAGCTGTGACAGTCTCCAGACCCCGAGCGTCACTTCAGTCGTGTAGGACCCATTGAAGAGTTGTGTAAGGCAGATGAGACTTCCTCCCACCGCACCCCAATTTGAGCATCTGCCGCATAAGTAGTCGCTGCGTGATCTCCCACGATCACCACTGCCCAGAGCATGCGCCACAGCAGAGAGTACGGGCAAGGATCTCTTATCAGCCCTCGAATGCTTGAAAAAGGCCTTTCCCCTGAGCTTGTTTGTTTGTTTGTTTGTTTGTTTGTTTTATGAAAAGCTTCTCTATCCCATCCCCTGCAGGACGTCTCGGGACGGCTTACCATAAATAAGCTTAGCCCTCCAGGCTTCCCTTGAGATGGGTTCAGGAACAAGATTGTCAAGAGGAGCCTGGCAATCTGGCTCTCGGCGTACTTTTGGTTCATGTCCCTGGTTCCTCTGCTAGTGCCCCCCCCCCCGCCCCCCGTGGACCTCCACTTTCCTTCTGCCTTTCCCGTGTGAACCTGGAGCTGCGAGGGGAGGCCGGGGGCCTGCCCGCTCCGGTGCCTTGGGCACTGGGCACTCTGCTGCTTCCCAGCCCCTGCCCTGCATGTCTGCACCTTGGAATGGAGTCGCAGCTGCTTGGGAGAAGGCTGGATTGTCATGTTCCAGGAGCTGTTTGCAGGGTGAACTAGTCGTCCCGCGTTCCCTCCCCGGCTTGGTGTCATATCACCCCTTCTGCAAGAGCACTTCCTGGGCAGCCCATGGCAGTGGGGCAGATGGGGCAGGGGTCCATGGCCATCTGCTTGCGGAAGTTTTCGTTTTCCTTTCCTGGATGTTTTAAGAGGATGATCAGTGAGCATCAGCTGGGGAGGGTTTTTAAGTAAATGGAACGATTTCATCCTGGGGAAGGGGAAGAGTTGGCCTTTTAAGGTTCACAAGAATGCTAATTCTTCCAACTTTCCGTTTCTTTCCCTTTTGTGAAGCTCTGTAGCTGCTGCTTTCAGGCGCATTCTCTGTTTGTCCTTATTTTCCCTCTTCCTTTTCTTTCCCGTTTATCTTGGATAATTCTCACACTGAGCAATTGAGCCTTTTGGGCACTCCGCGGTCCCGTCTCCGCAGTCCCTTCGCTGCCAGCAGCGTCTCAGCGGTTCAGCATCTCTGTGCAGCTTTGGGCTCTTCAGTGACCCCGGAGCTCCTGTGGCTGCCGAGCAGTGATGCCAGAAAGGGGGCTCTGGGGGCGCGGGCATCCCCCCCCCATGAGTGCTGCAGACACAGACCAGTCTCCCATTTCCTCGAAGCCACAGAAGAAGGCAAAGCCAGCTCTGCATGCCTAGTTTTCTTCCCAGGCAGTCCCTGGCATGACTTTCTGGGGAGGTCCAAGAGGCCGAAGCGGAGCTGCTACGTCTTTCCATGGCTGCTTTTCTGCCCTGTTACTTGGAGCACTGAGCTGCAGGTCCCAAGAGCTCCCCATGTTCGTCTGTTAGAGAGAAGGAGAAGGGAAAGAATTAGACGGACTCCTCGTCTTTTGAAGACTGGTGTTTACTGGGGCTATCTAAACTTTCCTGGCTCTAAGCCTAATTACCTAGAACCCCCTTTAACTAATGTGTGACGCGGCAAACGTGGATGTATGTATGTGGTAGAAAGAGAGGGGCGTGTTGAAGCAGTTGGGCCAAAGAGCTATGAGATGCAAAGGACAGCAGGAGATCCGTCTCACTTCCAGGCAGAACCATTTTCGTGCAGTCTTTTTGTTTCTCTTCTGTGTGTGTAAAGATATATATCACCACTTGCTGCATCAGAAGGAGTACTCTGTAGTCTGCAAAGTGCAAGCCATGCTGGAAATAGAGGCAGCAAAGCTCTCTTCCTTGGCTCGTCTTTACTCTGCAAGTGTTCTTGCAAAGCTGTCATTGCCCCTTTTGCAACTCAGCTGACCTGACTGTGCATGGCTTTGTGCATCCGTTCACCTGCACATGGGCAGAGTGGGCAATACCTTTTCAGGCCCAGGTCGTCGTCAGGATATTCACCTGTGCCCACCGAACGGTGGTTGTGATGCAGCTGTGCACGGCAAACGTGCAACTCACATTGCCCCGGAAGAGGAGGGAGCGTGTCCACTGGGCATTGCAGCCAAAGGTGGCGGCCCTGCTTGAGCCACTGGCTGTGGCTGAGGAGAACGCGGGGTTGGAACACACAGCAGTGTGTTGGTGAAGGAAAGGATGTTTCTTCCTTTTTCCCTTTTGTTTACTACACACAAAACATCCACACTTGATCAGAGTAAACAAAAGCTGAAACCTAAGAAAGAGAAACAGCTTGAACAGACGCTCCGAAACTGAGCAATTTAAATAGGGATTATTTGTCAGCTAGTGCATTCCTAGGACTCTCCGCTTCACAACTATATTAAGCTTAGAAGCATTTTTTTGAAGCGATCAGGAAGCAGGTTCTCTCATGAAACAAGCAGCGTGTGGTTTCCGCACGCCTCGGCTGGGAGTGGAGCCCGTGCCATGGGCCCCCGGGGCGTGGGGCGCGCCTGGCTCAGGCTCGAGGGAACTCCTCCGCTGTGGTGCCTCGGCACCCCTGGGTTTTGTGGGCACTTAGGAGAAAAGCAACACTCTTAGGAAAGAACTCGGCATCGTCAGATCAGACGCAAATTTAGTTGACCAAAAGGAGTCCGGCAGTTACTTGACTTGGCACGGCTGTCCCAGTTTTGGTGGCGGTGCATCCGTGGGCTGGACTGCGCGGCGTGGCTTCACGGTGCAAACAGATGGGGCGTCTAGCACAGCAAAAGAGCCGAGGCCCCGTGCTGGGGCCTGCCACCCCGCCCACCCCGTGCCCCGCGCCACGGATGTTTTCCAGGGTGCGCCGATTTTAGGGGTTTCTGTAGTGTGTTAATTCTGCCGTGCAGAGTGCGGCTGGCAGGGAGGCTCCGCTCGGCCACCCACCCACCCTCCTGTGAGCTCGGAGGCAGCCCCCTGCTGCAGTGGGAGCAGGGGGGCCGGGTGCCTGGGGATGCGTGGCAGCGGAGGAGCGCCCACCCACGCACTGCGGGGAAGGGATGCGCGCAAGGCCTGCTTGGCGCCACGCATGGCCCCCAGAGTCCCAGGGCCCGGGGAACGGCAGCACCGCCTGTCGCAGGACCCGTTGCCCCGCCCCGTGCCAGGCGGAGGAGCCCTCCTGCCTCCGAGGAGCAGCGCTTGCCCACGTCCGGGTCTGGGAAGGCAGGCAGGAAGCCCTCGGGGCCGGGCTGCAGGCCGTGCCACTTCCCCCTCGCCTCAGGGCTGGCCCGGCATGTGGCTGCAGGCTGGCGGCTCCTCCGCCCACAGGCCGAGTCGGCTGATCCAGTTTGGCGGCAGAGCTCGGGGTGGGGGGGATCGGCCGCCCACCGTCTGTTTCCTGGAATTCCCCGCGGGGGGGAACCGGAAGAAAAGTGCCTCCCAGCACGGTGGCCGGGCCCCTCTGTTCCCCCGCCTGCTGCCCCACAGGGGGCATTTGCAAAGCGAGCGCGGGAGGGGAGGTTCCTCCGCCGCCTCGGCGTGCTGTGGCCCAGGCCGACGGGGGACCCAGGCGCTCGTGCCGGGCCGAGGAAGCCGTGCCGCGGCTCCATGAGTCATGCAGCGCATGGTTTCGTTCTCAGTGCGGGGGGAGAGGAGCTCCATCCACGTGGTGGCTGCTGGGTGAGGCCGCTGCCACGGGGAGCCTGCTGTACCAGCCCTGACCGTGGCGGGGGTCTCTTCCGCTGCGAGCGACCCCACGCGGGCGCAGCTGCCCAGCACGCTCCCTCCAGGGCCTCCGGCTTGTTTCCTGCTCCGCCAGCTCCGGGCAGGGCGGCCTCAGCCCTTGCTCTGGCTTGCAGCCACAGCTCTGGGAGTGCGAGAAGCTGGGGCAAACCTGAGCGGGCCTCCTGCCCCCCACCTGCTTGCACCCGAAGCTGGGGAGTCAGGAAGCTTCTGGCTCTCTTGGACTCCCGTGTCAGCCACGGACTCCACAGGAGGCCTCTCTCAGCCTCAGCTTCCTGTTGCCACGTGGGGTTGCAGCTGGCCCTTTTCCCCTCGCTGGTTTTTGGACTCTTGAGGGTGTGCCTGCAGGCCTTCTGATTGCTCCAACCACCTGCAAGTGTTTGTGTATTTCCCGTTACTGATCCGCCCCGAAGGGTGGGAATGCCGGAAAAGAAAACCCAGAGACTCGGTTTCCAGAGGGGGGCACTCTTGGTGAGCGTGCCTGGTTCTGGTTCTCACTGGAGTTGGCTTGAAGGGATCGAATTGTGCCTCACGCGCTGGGTTTCTCAGTCTCCTGCATCGGTGTCCTTTGTTGTTTGCAGTGCGACTCCACGAGAGCATCTCGGAAGAGGGTTTCCACTATCTCATCTTTGACCTGTGAGTCTGGCTCTTCTGCCTCATCCCTGACAGACACGTGCGTGCCCCGGAGGGAGCTGCTAACCAGACGGCCGCTTGCGCTGCTCTCCTTCCTGCCTGGCCCTTCAGTTTGGTTCAGTTGGCTGTTCACATTTAAGCAGATAACTTTTGAAACTCTCTGGGCTGAAAACACGCCACCACCACGCAGCTCTGACGAGGTCTTCATTTAGCTTAGCCATTTATTACTCTGAGTGACCAGATTGTCCTTAAAAACAATTTGCAAAGTAAGACCATAGATTAAAATATTCCAACCATTAAAAGGCAAAATAACAGCAAACAAATGAAATGAAATTGGTTAAAAGTACCTGTCTCATTTTCTAATTGAAATTTTAGAAACATTGCGTACAACAGTTTGGCAGGTCTTGCAGGCAGCTGTGAAAAGCCAGCCCAGCAAACTGTGAGCTGGCCATCGGCGCCCATAAGCAGCTCCCTGGCCTGCTCAGGTCCAGGCCTGCCTGGCCACCTGACCAGCTCAGCCATGGCACCTGCTGGCCAAGGTGCCCCATGCTGCCAGCACGGTGCCCGCCCGACCCTCCTTGCAGGCTGCGAGCGCGAAGGCCAACATGCCCGGGCGCCGCACTGACAGTGGCCGGCGCAGGGACCTCTTGCCGGGTGCAGACGCCTCGGGCAAGTCACTGCGGCAGATGCCTGACTGTGGCCTCCATTGTGTCAGGACCCCCCTGGGCACAAGGACGTGGCCAAGCCCCCTCCACCTGCAACAGTGAAAGCTGTGAGCAGTTTGCTGCCTGGGGAAGGCCGGTCCAGGCCGGGGAGCAGCGTTAGTGGGGCGTCGTGCAGAGGCCGCCCCTGGGCTTGATGGCCCGCCATTGTCTCCTTTCGTGGCACTGGCTGAAAAGTCAGGAGCAGCACCGGCTCACGCGGGGTGGCTTTTCCGGAGCAGCAGGGGCAGAACGGAGCACTGAGCACCTGATGTGTGCGCTCGTGAGAAAGTTGTGCATGACTCTAGAAATTGCCTGTATTGGCTTATTTTCCATTTCTACCCAAAGTGATCGGGTAGGAAACAACTTGGACAGCAATGAAAACGAAGCTACTGTAAGCTGATTTTGTAGATGGGAAAACCTCGTAATGGTATTTTCCCCATTACTAAGAGTAGCTCTTGCTTAGAAGCATTTTTGCTGCTCTCCAGATATGAGGCCTGCATTTCAGAGGGCTTTCCAGACTGCCTGCTTATCCTCGGGCAATTCTGCATGAATGTTTGGGCCCCTTGCTCAGAGTCCGAAGTCGCAGAACGCCTCAACTCAGCAGTGCAGCGGCTGAGCTGGGCTTCCGCCGGTCGGTGCCCTGATGCTTGGCTGGAGTTGCTCCTGAGCTGCTGGGAGCCGCGTGCGCTTCGTGCTGCGCCTTCCTCAGAGTGGCCGCTGGCGGCTTCCCGGCTGTCGGAGGCCTCGGCTGGTGGGACTTGCAGTGGGATCTTTTTGGGGTGCTGTGAGGAAGGAGCTGCTGTGCGCTGGGCCTGTGGATTCCGGCAGCTCCCCAGCGGAGGGCAGGTGCCTCATCCCCCGAACTGTCTGATTCCAGGGTCACCGGTGGAGAGCTCTTCGAAGACATCGTGGCCAGGGAGTACTACAGCGAGGCTGACGCCAGGTGAGGGCACACCTCCCAGCATGCTTTGGGGCGTGGGCTCGTCCTCACCGAGGGGGGCGGCACCGCTTCGAGGGGCCGCGGTGCCTCCACGGCCTGCCCCGCGCAGGTCCCCTCAGCCTCCCTGCTGTGTTCTGGGGGCTTCCACTGCCGCGAGGGAAGGGCCCCAGGGTCGGCACCAGCTGCCCGCTCGAAAACCTCTGCAGCAGCACTTCTTCTCTGGAAGGGTCACCGCCACCAGTGTGGTTTTTCTGCGTCCACAGCGCAGGTGCAAGAATTGAGAGCGGCCTGCCTGGGACGGCTCTGGGAGCGGCTCCCCGCGGGCCTGGCGGGCGGGAGATGCTCAAGCAGCCGAGGCAGCGGGGGGCCAGGGGCGCGTGCAGCCTCGCCACAGCTCCCGCCCGTGCACCGTCCCTCCCTCGGCGAGCACTTGTGTCCCTTGGCTTCGCGACCGAGGATGCCTCCTCACCACGGCTCAGCCAGTGGTGCTCCAGAAGCCTCCTCCTGGGCCCCTTCACGAGGCCAGCCCCCTCCCCAGCTCCCCCAGCACAAGAGGTGGCGGTCCCGATCCGAGGCTGACTGTCCCGCCAAGCAGTGCCAGCAGAGCAGCCCCCTCCGCTCCGTTTCGAGAGCCTGGCGCTGGATGCACGAGCCAGCCGGGCCCGTGCCACACAGATGTGGTGCCAGAGGCGGGCTGCCACGGGGGCCTCGTGCTGGCCATGTGGTGGGCAGGGCCGTGGGCAGATCTGCAGCCCGGCCCAAGGGGGCGGCCAAGGACTTGCAAGAGTCCCGGTCTGCCCTCGCCTCCCACGGCCACAGCGTCTCACCACGGTTCGTGACCTCTGGGGCTCCACTCGCCTCTGCACATGCTGTGTGGAGGAGGCCTCCCGGGTCTCGGGGCTCTGGGTGGAAGATGCTTCGGCAGAGGAGCCAGGGGTCACGGTGGCTCCGCCAGCCCTCAGGCACGCTTTCACAGCCCCTCCTGCTCCCTTCAGGGGAGATGGAGATCAGCCCCTGTCCCCACGCTCCCCCTTCGCTGGAACCGCACCAGATGGTGGGGCCTCCGGTGTTTTGCCGCTTTGGTCTTACTGTCTGTTGTTCCTTTAATCATGACTATAGATTGTTTTTGTATGTCTCTTAAATTTTGTAAACTGCACAGAGAGCCCAACGGGCTATGGGGCAGTACGGAAGCATAATAAACAAATCAGTAAGGTGGGCAAGAGTCTGTGGGGCCAGCCCCTGTGCATGTCAGGGGGCAGTCCTGTCCCCGGCTGACCGGCTCCCCCCCCCACCCCGCTTTGAGTGGGTCTGACACTGCCCTGCCTGAGTCACTGCGAGCCGGTCCCTGCTGCCCAGAACGGCATTCCAGAGCAGGCCGAGTGGCTGGTGAGCGAGCGAGCAAGAGCGGAGCTTGTGCCAATCCCACCTTCCCTGGGACTCAGAGCACTTTTCCCATTTTTGGCCAGAAAGTCTCCTGCAGTGGATTTGGCTCTGTTCGCATTATTATGCAAAACTTTTTTCCCTCCTGTTCTGGGATGGAGGGGAGAGTTGCAAGGCCTGCCAGAGTGAGTTGGGCTGCCAGCCACCAGGATGGATGGCAAGGACCGGCGTGCCTTGCTCCTTCCCGGCCCGGCCTCTGTCCTCAGGATGTGGAAAACATTCCCCCGTCGCCAGCCCTTTGGCTTCTGCACCTCCCCTGTGCCACAGCACCACTGTTATTCCCAAGGAACTCACCCGGACCAGACTTTTCCCCCAAATGGTATTTTGTTCCACTGATAAAACATGTTCTGGAGAGGAGTTTTGCTGCCCTCTGCCCAGCCCTCCTGTCAGGGGCCTACGGCGAGCGCACGCTGGGTGGGCCGCACAGCCCCGTGGGAGCAAAATGGCGGAGGGGCAGCCTGAGGGCCACACGCTTCCCGCCGCAACACAGGCACTCCTCAGTGCGCAGGGCAGTCCTGGGCCAGCTCACCCACCCGCTCTGCTCCACTCTGGGGGCCCAGACCCCCTGCCAGGTGGGCAGATGCCGGGAATCTATGCCTGCCACCACAAGCACCGGCCACGCCGAGTCGGGTGTCCCGGCATGCGGGTGATCAGCTGCCACACTGCAGTGCAGAGGACAAGGAAGAGGGCGGATTTCCTCAGGCTTTCGGGAAGCTCGAGGTGTGGCGCTCAAGGATGGAAGTAGGGAGCCGAGAACGCACTGAAAGGGGCCTGCCCCCTGTGCCCGCACAGCATTGTCACAGTGAGCCCTCCTTTGCTGCTGCTGGGAGCTCTCTGGGCTGGCAGGTTCCCAGCCTGAATGTGAGGAAGGAGGCTGTTGTTTGAGTAAACCCTACGAGACCTTTTGCTACAGATCCTTCTCCCCAGTGCTGTGACATTGGCAGTCATCTTTTGGTCCCCATGGGCAGCTGAAGCAGGCACCCCGTGGGGCTGAGATGCACTCCCCTCACAGCGAGAGATGGCAAAGCATGCTCGGATTGCGGCACTCTGCGGAAGAGCAGAGGCCGCGTCTGCAGGGGGCCCCGTGGGATGCACACTTCCCAATTGTGCATCCATTGTGAACCCTTGAACCCGGTGTCCTTGGTGACCATTGCCTAGAGAAGTGGGAATGAGAAACGCTCCCCTGCCTTTTCTGTCCTGCAGCCACTGCATTCACCAGATCCTGGAGAGCGTCAGCCATATTCACCAGCAGGACATCGTTCACCGAGATTTAAAGGTACCGCTTGCATCTGGGGAAAACCGGAATTTGCCCTGCAGCGGTGGGGGGACAGCGCTGCACGCCTCTGTTTCGAGGAGGCCTGAGCACGGCCTGCGGTGGGAGCTGGCTGTGTTCGTGCCCTCCGGTGCTGTGCAACGCACGAGCGTGGCCTGCTGCTAGGAAGGGTGACGCGGCAGCTTTGCGCAGCTTGAGGGAGCCTTCTGCCAAAACGGCATCCGCTCAGCCTGCTGGAGGGGGGCTTTCTTGTCCCCCGGGCCAGCATCTGTCTCCTGGGACACTCGGTGTTTGGACGCTCCTCGCAGAGGGCCGCTTGCGCTCGGCCGCCTGTCCGGCTTTGGCCTCTCTTGCCCCTTCCCAAAAGGAGAGCCGAGGGCTGCCAGGAGTCTCCTGTGGCCCAGCAAGCAGGAGCGTTTCTCCTGACCTTGTGGGAGCGGAAAGAAGGAGGGCCTGGGGGTCCGGAAAGCCTGGTGGCAGCCTGGCCCACAGGTCCCTGGGGGAGGCCCGGCGACACTGCCTGCAGCAGGCAGCCCTCCCTGCAGGGCCAGCACATCCGGTCCGGGAGGCCGGGAGCCGCGCTCCAGGTGCGTGTTGGCCTCCATGCTCCACTCACATTCTCCTCCCTGCGGGATCTCTGTGCCCACCCTCCCCACATCCGGCGTGCACAAATTGTGCAGGGTGGCATTGCGTCGTTGCAGCTCACTGGGCGCTGCTGCGTGACAGCGACGCCTGTCCTGAGCACTTTCTGCATGGGGGAGGCGTGGGCGATGCGTGGTGCGGGCCCTGAGCCTTGAACAGAGCAAGTGGGCTGTGAAGAGGGCTGTGCTTCTGGGTTTACACGCGAGAGCTTTGCAGAGGGATTTCTAGACTTGCAGAAGTGAGAACCTTAAAAATGCAGGCTGGCCCAAAGGAGAGTCGTGTGCTGGATGGTTTTATACCTGCAACATCCTGGAAGACATCAGTCCTTCTCTGAAGGGGCTCATGGCAGTGTTTGATCAGAAAGACCCTCGATCAGTCCAGCCATTCCAGAGGCTCTGCGGTCGATGAAGACAGGCCTTTGATGGCCTCAGGCCAGGAAGCCGGTTGGTCCTTCACCGTCTTTATGCTGCTCTCTGTCTCAGCCGCGTTGTGGCAACTTTGGAGTTGCATAAAAGCATCGGCTTTCATTTCGACAACAGAATATCCAAAAGCAATTACAGAATCAGATAATGGAGTCCAAATATTAGATAATGGTCCTAACGACTCCTACCGGGGATATGAATCTGCATGTGGCACTCGAACCCAAAACAAAGGAGAACCAGAACCCGGTTTTATTAGTGGAACGACTCGTCAGGCGTGGAATGTAACAGGCTTTTCATCAGGAGCAGCGCTTGACTGCTTGTGTGCTCACAGTTCGCTTACTGGCTGGACCTTTAACCCACCTTTCTATTTTAAAAGCCTTCAAGCAGGCTTACAAAAGAAAAAACCCCAAACATCTCATGGAATCCTAGAATACTAGAGTTGGAGGGTGCCAGCTGGCTTTTGCAGGACAGCAAGCCACATTTTTCTATCTAGATGACTGTTCAAACGCTTGTTGAATGTCTCCAGTGAGAGAGAGCCCACAACTTCCCCAGGTAAAATGTCCCATTATCGTACTGCTCTGACAGTGCAGAAAAGCTTCCTGGTGTCTGGTGTAAATCTGGTTTCTTTGAACTTAAGTCCATTTTTGCGTGTCCTGTGCTCTGGAATGGACAAGAAGGCATTTTGTCCGTCCTCTTCATGGCCGCCCTGCAGGGACACACTGGGTGCTGCCATCTCACATCTGAGTCTTCCTGAGGCGGAACGTGCCCGGCCCTCCCAGTCTCCTCAGAGGGCTTTGCCTGCAGTCCCGGATCTCGTGGGGCTTCGTCAAGGGCTTTCCTGGAGTCTAGCCAGAGTTTGTCCATGGCATCCCCACAGTCCACTTGGGTGGTTACCCAGTCAGAAACTGAAATGAGATTATTCTGGCAGGATGTTTGAGAAGTCCATGCTGGCTTCTAGCAATTACTGCGTTGTCTTCAAGGTGCTACCTGAGGGATGCACAAGGGAGAAGGGCCTTCTCTGTAGTGCCCCTCTGACTGTGAAGCAGCCTCCCCCTGGCAACACACCCGGAGCTCGTGCAGTCCCTCCTTCAGAACTAGAGTCAGGCAGTCACCTGTTCCCAAGAATTAGCACCTGGTGGGGCACTTACGGAAGCCGCTTTTATCAACTCCAGTATCATATTTAAATGGCTTTAACTGTTTATATTGGTTTACGTTTTCGATGTCCAAATTTTTGTACTGTATTTTGTCATCTTGTATTTGTGGTTTGGAGTTGTTGTGACCCACCCAAGAGCGTTGGGATAGAAATGGCAGCCACAAGATCAGGGCTTCATTCAGAACTGCGTGTGTGTGCAGAATTTCCCTGGGATCGCAGGTGACCCCGTTTGGCCCATCAGGAGGGTCTCAGTTCACCAGGCGTGTGTGCCTAATTTTAGATGGGGCGCACCCCCGGTCTTATGCAAGAAGAGGCTCTCCTTCGGTCAGCCAGCCCAAATAATCCAGAGGCTGATCGGCATGGAGCGGCCCATTGCTGGGGGGCGCATCCCCCACCCCGCCCAGGCACCAGCGCCTGCCTGACAGCGTCTCCCCTGGCAGCCGCGTGCTCTTGAGCCCGGAGGGCGCAAAGCTGCGAGAGGAGGGAGCGGAGCGGCAGCCCCTTACGAAAGAGCGCGGCCAGCCCTCCCGGGCAGCTCTCGGCCTGCCCCAGGCTCAGCCCGGCGGCCTGCCCCTGCCCCTACCCAGGGCGTGCGGGGGGGCTGCACGGTGGCCACTGCACAGGTGCTCTGTGGCAGATCAAGCACGGCCTGTGGCTGCCCAGCCTTCGCAGTGACCCGGCGGAGCACTCTGGCGTTTGGGTCCCGAAGGACGAGCAAGGCTCGGCCGGTGCAGAGTAATCAGATTAGCCTGGCGGCGGCAGCTTCCACAAGCAGCACAGTGTCCGGCGGTGGCGGGAGGCAGCGTGTGGCCAGGGAGCCCTGCGTGCAGCGGGGAGCCCCTCTGGCACGAGAGCATTTGTGTGGCGGGGGGATGGCATGGGTCGGCCTCCGTATTCTGCATTTCAGAACCCCGCCACGCCATCACTTGCCGTGGCAGAGACCAACGGGTGCTTTTGCCGCTTGAGCCTGGCCGGCTCACGGCCTGTGCCGGTGGAGGAAGGATTAGCTCCGGCTCAGGCCCGTGCCCTCAATCCTGCCGCACTTCTTAGAGGCCCGTGCATGACGCACCCGGGATGGGGCTGGCGAGTGCCTGGGCGCGCTCTGGCCTCCCCTGGACACGCAGGAGCCTCTGGTGTGCCCGGCCTTCTGGACGGAGGCTCACATGACGTCCGGCAGCCGAGCAGCTCTGAATGAGAGCCCAGGAGGAGAGCCAGCGGAGGGAGCTCAGGGGCCACAGTGCCAGGTGCCCAGCGCACGAGGCGGGGGGCGGGCGCCTTCTTAATGCGGCACCCCAAAGGTTGTGGGGCTGGGCACCAGTCCTGCATCCGCGGGAACTGAGCCAGCACTTGCCAAGCACGAAGGGGGCTCCATGGCACGGGCCGGCCTGCTGCCCGTAGGAGGGCGCTGGCGAGGTGTGCTCCTCGGTGGCTTTGCGCCTTTTTCCCCTTTAAGGAGCTGCAGGCTGCCTGCACAGTTCTCCTCCTGTCTTATCCTCACACCAACCCTGCGAGGGTGGTCGGGCTAAGCTACCCCTGAGCTTCATGGCCGCAAGGGGACCAGCGCCCAGCTCCTTCCCCACAGCGTCTCCGCTGTCGCCCAGCAAGGGTCTGCAGGGCGAACGATGTGGGCACAGCGTGGCACCCCAGCCTGCCGCTCCTGACCTCGCCCAGGTGTGCGTCATGCTCGGGTGGAAAGGAACGCCGTCCATCATAAGCGGTGACCCCGGGGCAGAGTGGGGGCAGCGGTCGCCCCAGCCGCGGGGGAAGAGCACCTGGCCCAGCGCGAGTGCCCTGCCGGCGCCCCTTGCAGTGGATCGGCACTCGAGCGGCAGGAAAGCCTTCCACCTGGGTGCCGCTCCTGCCTGCTGCGGCCGGAGGCGAGGCGCTGTGTGAGCCACGGGGCCTGCTGCCTGCTGGGCTGACCTTGGGCAGCGATGGATCACCCAGGGAGTCGCTGTCCACCCACCCACCCCTTCGTGTCGCCAACGCAGGCGTGAGCACCGCTCGGGGAGCGCCGAAGGGCCCCCCAGGGCGGTGCGGGACTCCAGACGGGTGGAGGCACCGGAGTGTGCTGGTCCTGCCCGCTGGCGGTTCTCCCGCCTCACCTGCTTCCCTGTCGCGGAGACTGTGCCAGGTGGAGCGGGCTGCTGCACAGGCCCCGCCTCGCTCGCCCATGCCCGGGAGCCTTGTGGGCATGCTTGCGGGGGCAGCCCCGCAGCTGGCTGCCTCTGCCTGGATTGTGTCTCCCCGTGAGGGTGCCGCATGCGGGTTGGAGGAGGTGTGGGACCGGCAGCCCCCACTGTCTGCTGGGGATGTGGCCCGGAGGCTCGCACCTGGCTGCCCGGTATCACTAAGTGCGGTTCTGCGGGGCTGGCCAGGCCTTTTCCGTGGGCCGGAGCGCTCCCCTCAGCCGCCTGGGCCCCGACCAGATGCGCCCCCGAGCCGGAGCCCGGAGCCAAGCGGTTGATCGCTCTGACGCTGGAGAAGGACTGGGGGGGGGCGGGGGGCGGGTTCGGCAGGAGCAGGGGCTGCAGGGGGAGATGCTGACCAGAATGTCCCCCCTTCTCCCTCCCCCGCCACTCCAGCCGGAGAACCTGCTGCTCGCAAGCAAGTGCAAGGGCGCGGCTGTCAAGCTGGCTGACTTCGGACTCGCCATCGAAGTGCAGGGAGAGCAGCAGGCCTGGTTCGGTGAGTGCGCTCAAGGCCGCCTCTCCCCCGGGTCCAGGCAGGTCTCCAGGGGCCCCTTGCCTCTGACCTTTCCGGAGCAGCCGCCTTTGTGCTCCCACCAAGGACTTTAGCAGGCAGCCGTGGCCCAAGCGGAAGGAGCCGCTTAGCCTCGTGACCACCCCTAGGACGGAGGGTCTCGCCCATCACGTGCAAGCATCCAAATTCACGCAGCCATCGTCCACAGCATATGGCTGCCAGGCAAAACCGCCCAGTTTGACCAGAAACGGAGCCCGCTTCGCGGAAGGCGATTGCTGCAGGAGGGAGGCCGAAAGGCCCTCCGGCTGCCGATGCAGGACCCCGCAGCCTCCCCACGTGACTCGGACGCACAGCTCCCGCCTGCCACAGCCGCGTGGACGGTGCAACTTGCCTCCTTCCTCCCCATGAAAAGCACTGGGTGGTCCTGCCCACAGCGCTCCCACACCACCCACGGCGCTGCACGAGGGATTCCCCAGGTGGGAAATCCCTCCACTCGAGTAAGCGGATGCCCCATCGCCCACCTTGGAGGTCTGCAGGATGAGCTGCACAGGTGCTACAACTTCTGATCCCAGGCTTCTGCTCTCTCGGGACCACCCTTCCCGGGGACGATGCATGCAGAAGGCTCACTTAGAAACGTGTCTTGGGGCATCTTTTTCACTCCCTTCTCCTCAGGCGGGGATCATAATGGTTTCCTGTTTCCAGGTGGTCTCTGCGTGTTCTTAGTAATGGATTCACCAGATATTTTCTGCTGGGAGTCCTGGCTGAACATGTTGAACGCATTCCTGGAATCGACGTGGCTTGATGGTGTTGCAGCTAATGGGATGCTGTCCCGTGTGATTTGTCATGGGTGGTCTAGTGCCTTAAAATTTCCTCTCCTGCAAGACACGGTCTTTTAAAATGCTGTCTGACGTGCCATCTTCACGTGAGAATGACAGCTTTATTTCAAGAAGCTCAGTCTCTGCACTCCTGTTTCTACAGGGTTTGCTGGTACGCCTGGCTATCTGTCCCCCGAGGTCTTGAGGAAGGATCCTTACGGAAAGCCAGTGGATATTTGGGCGTGTGGTAAGACTGCGTGGTGCTAATCGTGGGCCTGGGGCTTGGGGTTAGGTGCAGAACTGGCCCTCGCCCCGCGGCCCCTGCAGTGATGGAGGAAGCGGGTGCAGCTGCATCGCTGCGCTGACCGGGACTGGCGTGGGCTCAGTGGGCCAAGCGGCTCCGGGGGCCACCGGGGCACTCCTGCACTCTGCTCCGGGCGTGGGCTCAGGGCTGCGTTCTGCGCGGCCGGCTGTGCCGCAGCCGGCAAAGGCAGCCGGCCCGCCGGGGACTGCGCGGCCCGTGCACCTGCGGCAAGTGGCGGGCCAGCCCCACAAACGCTGGGCGGCTCCAGCGGCACAACTGCAGCCCTTCTCTTCCCCCTCAGGGGTCGTCCTGTACATCTTGCTGGTTGGGTACCCCCCGTTTTGGGATGAAGACCAGCACAAGCTCTACCAGCAGATCAAGGCAGGAGCCTACGATGTGAGTCGCTGGCTGGAACGGGCCCGGGCGGGTCTGGGGGCCGCGGCGGCACCCGCCCTTTCACTCTGCTGCGGGGGCCGGGCTGGGCGGGGGGGCGGGGGGCCAGCCGAGCCTGCGGGCAGTCCTGATCAGCACGCTCTCATCAAGTGGGGCTGAATTGCGGGGTGCCTGTGGAGTGAAGGGACGCCCGTCCATCCTTGCTCTGTGCCGCTGCTGCCCCCTGGTGGCCCCCTGGCAGCTCCGTCTCGCTCGCCTCACGACGCTGGCCAAGGCGGCCCGGCACCGCCCTCGCAGGACCCCCGGGTTGTTGCCGCCGCAACACCGTCTGGATGCCCAGAGCAGCCCTTCCTACCCTGCTACACGTTCAGGGGAGCGTGCGGCTCAGCAGCGCTTCCCACTGGCCCGACATGGCCTGCTGCGCGATTGCGCCTGGCAGCTGACGAGGGTTCAGTGGGGGGCAAGTTATGGGGGACGCATCTTGGTGCGCTGGCTCTCCTTGGTTGGAAAAAAGGAAGAAAAGACGGGGCTCAGCTGTTCCAAGGGGGAACCAGGCAGGGAAGCCGGTGCGTTCCAGCCTGGGGCCTCTGCCTGTGCCGCTCAGGCCCCAGCTGCCGGCAGGGTCCAGGCTGTGCCTGCAGGGGGTCCCAGGATCCAGCACTTGGACAGGAAGGGGCCGTTGCTGCCTGAAAGCGTTGTGGAAGCCACCAGTCAGAGGAGGCACTCTGACTTCAGCAGACCCGCCTCTGCTCTTCCACTTCTCCGCTTTCTCTACCACGTTTGCAGCAATGCAACTCTGAACCGCTTTTAGGAGGACTGGCGCTTGGGTTAAGGAGGCCACTCCAGTCCTTGTGTGAAGCAAGCCAAATGCCCGTGAACCAGCTGGCACTCCTGCCTCGCACCCGCCACTGAGCTTCAGCAGCCGAAAGAGTGGAGCACGGCTCTGCCTGTGCACCTCGCAGAGGGGGCCCCCCAAAGCCGTGCGGTGCATTGCCCCGTGTGCCTGCTTGGAGCTCCCCCTCAGAGGGATTCTCTTCACGTGTGCCCCAAAGCTGCTGGCCAGAAAAGGAGAGGTTGCAGCGAAAGAGGACGCCACGGGAACCCAGAAACCGCTGAAGGGCCGCTCTCTCTCGCTCTCCTACTTCTAGTTTCCTTCTCCAGAGTGGGACACAGTGACTCCGGAGGCGAAGAACCTAATCAACCAGATGCTGACGATCAACCCAGCCAAGCGCATCACGGCTGACCAGGCCCTGAAGCACCCCTGGGTCTGCGTGAGTTGCGCCCCTCCCTGCTCCCTGCGCCAGACAGGCCCCGGAGCCGCCTGGGCCACCCGCTCGCGCAGGGCCGCCCCCAGGCCGGGTCTCGGGGGTGGCCGTCCCCCGGCGCATCCGCGGCCCGCAGGCTTCTCTGGGGAGCGCTGGCGGGCGGTCAGCGCCGCCTGTGTGCAGTGGGCGTGTGTGTGCGTGCGCGAGGGAGGGCGGGGAGAGCGAGAGAGGGGAAGCCTCACCATGCCGCCCCTGCTTTGCAGCAACGCTCCACCGTGGCCTCCATGATGCATAGGCAGGAGACCGTGGAGTGCCTGCGGAAGTTCAACGCCAGGAGAAAACTGAAGGTGGGTTTGCGGGGAGCCTCCTCTGGCCTCTCCCCAGCTGGATTTCCCGCAGACAGCTATGCGAGACATGGCACGGCCAGAGCGAGCGCCTGGAGTCAGAGCGCTTCCTCAAGGGGGCCTTGGATGGTGCGTGGGACGTTCCTACTTGCCCGCGGCAGGAAAAGAGAGGAAGGGCGCTGCCCTAGTGCGGGGGCAGAGAGCTTCTCTCAGCAAGCTTGAACCCGGGGGCATTGGCCACAGCAAATGGGTGCATCCGCTGACGTGACGTGGACCCGGCCAGTGCTGGCTCGGCGCTCCATTCGGTTTCTCTGTGTGACTTTTAGGGTGCCATCCTCACGACGATGCTGGTATCTCGGAATTTTTCAGGTAGGACTTCCCTTCTTCCCGCACCTTCTGCCCCTCCCTCCTCGTTCATGCAAGCCTGACCCGCTGCACAGGCCGCGAGGGGAAGGCGTGCTCGTGGTCCACAAGCGAATGCGGCTCCGGTCGGAGGACCCTTCCCTGCTTGCCTCCCGCTGGGCAGGCTGCGCCATTCTTTATCCTATTCAAAGATGGCTGGACACGCACAAGGCGGGCACGTCGTGGGCAGAGCCGGCTGGAGCCGGGGGTCAGACTAAATGGCCCGGGAGGCCCCTTCTGACTCGCTCTGCTTCTATGTTATCCGTGGTGGTGATTCTTCGTGACTCAGCCAGGTCCACCTGGACTAATGTTGTAATACCTCATTGGCGTTTGTCAGCCAGAATTGTAATTGGTCCCAAATTCTCATTGTGCAGGAAAACATAAGTATGAAAAAAAGCTTGCAAATGAAAGCTCCCGTGTCTTCTGCCATGCACACCCCCAGCAGGAGCTTGTGACTGGCTGGCTGCCTGTTACGCGTGCCAGAGGGCACTTGGGACGTTTCCACTGCTGGGGGCTTCCCTGAAGAAGCCCCCTGGCCTGGTTCCCTCGCCGCTAGGGCCACCTGCCGCAGTCCGAATTCAGGAGTGCTTTCTGTTGCCTCGTCGGATTTTACTGTTGGCTGAAGCGAAGGGGAATGCGATGCAAACAAGAGATTTCAGGCTCAGGCTCAGGAGGCCAACAGAGTGATCTGGCCTGGCCTCTTGCAGCCACTCAAGCGATACGAGAACTCTCTACTTTCACTTCCAGAAGACGGAACTGGAGGGAAAGAGCACAAGTGTTAACAAAAGGAAGCTCACTCACTTCTCTTGTTTCTCTTTGCAGCTGCCAAAAGCTTACTGAACAAGAAGTCAGATGGAGTAAAGGTAGGTTTTGGATTTTAGCCTGCCCTCTTCCCTTGCAGTCCGCTCCCCAGGAGTAAGTGACCTTATCCAGAAGCCAAGACGCTTTCTGGGTGAGAAAATGCCCTCGTGTGCCCAGCTGGACCACGTGCCCTGCTCCCCGGCAGCGCCCCTGCTGCCAGCGCAGCCGCCTGCAGACGGCTCTGGTGCGGGTGGTTGTGTGAAGCAAGGAAGTGGCCTTTGGTTCCTGCGACCCGTTCTGGAGTGCGTTGTGCTTTTTGATTTCACTTGATTTGCTCGGTGGAGTTGTCGCAGTTGTGGTCACTGCAGGCGGTCTGGGCAGGTGCCTTGAGGGCTCCTTCTACCGACGGGGGTTAGAAATTCCACATTCCTTAGTGGACAATGTTTCATAGTGAGCAAACTTTCAAGGCTGGGAGTTGTTTGGGTTGTTTGATTTACTATTGGGTGCAGGTGTGTAATTAGTTCAAACAGGAAAGGGGATTCCCAAGCCTTTGTGTAGAACTGAAGAAAAGGCCTGGGCAGCCAGGTTGGCCAAGCACCGTGAGGTTTACGGAAGGGACGCTGCGGGCCGGAGAGCCAGGCATCTGCTCGTGGGCACTGGCCGTGCGTGTCGTCTCCTTCTCCGGGCAGCCGTCAGCTTGTCTGGCTCCAGAATTCATCAATGAGGGATCAGCACAAGAGTGAAGAAAATTAAGTGTAGGAACTGGCTTTGCAGAGACAACTTCCATATTTTGAGGAGGGGGGGGGGAATACTGTTAGGCTTGTCCTCCTCCAAGTGTGCATATTTCCAAGTGTGCTTGAAATAGTCTAGAGCCCCCCGTGCCAAGGCTTCTGTGCACAGATGGGCTCCGAATCGCCTGGAGTTCAGTTCCCCTGCATGCAAGGAATTCCCCGTCCAGCAAGATCCCAAAAGGCAGCCCGTTGGCTCCATTGTTGGTGGAGCGTTGTGTGGAGCAGGTGTCCAGCCAGAGCCGCGCACCTGTGCTGGCCTCTGCATGTCTAAATGCACAAGTGCTGAGCTTTGGAACTGGCGCGTGTGCTTTGCACTCCCCGGAGTCCATCTGCCTTTCCCTGGACATACTTGTGCAGGTTTTCTTGATCAGGCCACTGAGCAGGCAGGGCTTTCTGGAGTTCGGCTACACAACTCACTCACAAGATGCTGGGACACGTCACATGCCCCGTAACGGCTGGGTGTATCATGCGAGGCTGATATCCCTGTGCTGCTCGAACGACGTCTGTGCCACTTCTCACGCCGTTTCCTTTTCCTGGGGGCATTTGGAGTTGCTCTTCCGGGGCCAGCAAGTCGTCTCCAACTTGCGGCGAACCTATAGAAGGAAGCCCTTAAAAATGCCCGGGGTACGGTAGCCCTCTCAGCTCTGGCACACTGAGCAGCAACCATCACGCTCTCTCACAGCAAGTAAGACAAATTCTCCCCTCTCCTGGGATAATTAGACTTCACACTTAATCCTATTTTCTATGCTCTTCTGTAACATCACTGCAGGTTTTAGACCTTGCTGAAAAAAGAGGGAAAGTTACGGGGGGAGGATAATGAGGAGAAAAACTGATGTGCAGCTAAATCAAGTTCGGAAATAAAAGTTCATAAAGGGATTGCAGGTGCATGATTTTCTAGAACTCTGTAAATTTTACTTTTTCTGTGGGGTATTTTGATTAGCTGGTTCTCTGCATACAACAAGATAATGTGTGTGAAGTGCTTTAAACATCTGAAAGCAATGTATGCATCTGTTCCCACCTCCTCCAGTCTCTTGTCCTCCAGTTTTATTGGGGGACTAAGTAATCCCCCAACTAATTAGTTGTAATCAGATGGATTACAACTAAGTAATCCATCTGAAGATGGGCTGAAGTGCCTTTTTTCTTTATCTGCTGCCATTACAGGCAGTTTCTTTCTTAGTTCAGTCCAGGTTACCAACAGAATGTTGCTTTCTCCGTCAAGTAGAAATATTTGGCTCCTGTGTGCCAATCCAGAATTCAGAACCTGTTTAGTGGATAGATATTTCCTGATGATAAATCATTTGAAGAACAGGCAATGTAGTTCCGGTAGAAACCAAAACTAAAGAAGAAAGCCCTCCTTTTCTAATATTAAAAAGCTGGAATGTAAGAGATCACTGATTTCTCAGGACCATTGTCCCTTTGGTTTCAGTAAGCTTAGATTCCTCAAAAAAGTGAAGGGCCAGTAGCAACTGGTCCGGCCTGCATCACGAGGCAGCTCTTCTTTCTCCTCTATCTGTGGCAGCCAAGTTCGGAGCAGGGAAGACGTGCCCTTGTCCTGGTCTTCCTCACATCAGAGGGTGCCTTCCTGCCCTTGCCTTGTGGTGGGAAAAGAGCCTCAGCCATGCAGCCTGCTGGGTGATCCTGGGCCAAGCACTGCTTCTTACTCTAACCTATTTCACGGGATTGTGAGATGTGTGGGAACTGAAGGGCAGCTGGGATGCGTGCTCCTCCGAGCTCCTCTGAGGAAGGGCAAAAGGTCGATGCAGTGAGGATGTGCCGCAGGCGCTTGGGGGTCTGGACATGGCCTGCAAGGGCAGCGCTCTTGATTCACGTGGCCAAGCCTATCCAATGCCTTTTCCACCCCTGAAGCCCAGAGCGTGTCCCAGCACGAGACGCTGTCCTTCCCACCGGGCCCAGGAGGGGCCTGAGATGCTTGGACGGCCCAGGAACTCAAGCACCCCGACAGGAAGCTTCCCGGAAGTGTCCACAGGGGCAGCCCCACCACTGAACGCCCCCTTCTGGCCACCTGCCTCATGAGTGCGCCCCAGAAGGACTAGCAGGAGAAGGGATTGGCTTGGCGTTGGACTGGTTAGGAAGGACACTGGCCCTGCAGGGCAGGGGGTGGCACAGATGGGGGTTCGTTTTCTCTGCTGAAGCCGCAAAAGGGCAATAATAGCCACCCGAAAGGGAGGGAAAGCAGCCTCACCTGCGTGCAGCTGTGCAGCAGTCCCGGATTCCTGGGCACGTGAGCGAGGGGGTGCGGCACGGGGCCGGCATGCTTCCTGCTGCCCCCTGCTCTCCCCATCGCCGCCCCCTCCTGCCCCTGCCCACCAGCCTCCATAAGTGGCTCCTTGGTTCTTTCTCTCCCAGCCCAGAATTGCCCCGGGATGGTGTGCCCCCACTCCAGGCCTGCTTCAGCTGCTTCGTGCTGCCCCTCGCCCCAGCGTTGGGGGCAAGAACGCGGCTCGCTGGTGCTGCTGACCACGCTCCTGCGCGGAGAGAGGCCCCATGCCGACTCCGCGTGCCGCCCCCCCAGCATTCCTGCGAGGCGCCTCGTTCCTTGCGCTCGCGTGGCTGCCCTCGCCTGCCGCCGCACCTGACCCACCCAGCCCCTGTGGGAGCGCATGGCCTTTGCAGGGTTCCTTCTGCTTCGCGAATGTTCCCGGGCTCCGTGGGAGCGCAAGGGTCTGCATGAGTTCTGGCGGCCCGGGCCGGGAGGCAGCGGGGGCTTCCAGAGGGCTGCCGCCAGATGACTCCCTTCGGGAAATCGCAGGCGCCCTTTGTCAGGCTGGATGGATCTCCGCGCTGTAATTGTGCCGGCACCGCAGCCCATCTTTCCTGTCCAGCGGATTCATGCGTCCCTCTTCTGCATGGGAGCATCCCTGGTTGCCACGTGCCAGTCTGGGCAGCCGGAACAGGGAGAGCAGAACCCCGTGGGCGGGACCCGCAGCACCGGTGTCTGTTGCCCGTGGCTCCCATCTGAAGCAGGCAAGGGCGGTGTGGCTCGTGGAGCCTCTCGGTGGGGCCTGCGTGCGCTTCGGCCACGGCCGGCCAGCCCGGCTGGAGCCGGCTTGCGAGGAAAGCGCCTGCTGGCTCCCCGCTTCCCTGTCGCGCTGGCTGCGTCTGCTGCTCTCCTGCTGGCCCCGGAATGTGGCGCCTGGGGCTTCCTCCTCTGGCTTTGGGCCACTGGTTCCCGGGAGCCCCGTTTCTGCGAGCCTGCCATGTTCCCGGATGAGCGTGACCGGCTGCAGGCCGCCCGCTGGCCCGCAAGCGCCCTCCTTTTCTTTGCATCTCGTCTCATCACTTCTTTCCTTCTCTTTCCTCCTTCAATGGTGTGCCCAGAAAAGGAAGTCAAGCTCCAGCGTGCATTTGATGGTGAGCACCTCCGGTCAGCGGCCTGTGAACTGTGCCTTCACCACCCCATGCCATGCACGTCCGGCTTGTGCTCATCACCCCACATAGCATGTCTGGGCTGGGGGTGGGGGGGGGAGGGGGAGGGAGGCATCCTGCGCTCGGAAAGGGCCATGTCCTCACAAGAAGGTCATGCTGCCGAGGAAGCCACCGGCAAGGGCTCTGCTTGCTTCCATCAATTGGACACCTTTAAATTCAGCTCTGGATTTTGAGTGAGTTGCGGGAAAGAACTGGATCGGTCGTGCGCACGTTCCCTCTGGCCGCAAGGGCATGGTCTCTGCACCCTGGTGTGGACATGGGCTCCTGGGCGTCCCGTGGCCGAGGGCCGAAGGGGCACGAGAGCCGCCCTCGCTGGGGCCGGGCGGCTCTGCCTGGGCTCGCGGCTGCCGTGAACTTGCACGCCCCCGCGGGGATTCTTTCCCAAGAGCTCTCGGATCCAGAGTTGTGGTTGCCGTTGTCGTTGCCGCTGCTGCCATGGCCGTTGTCTGCCTCTCTTCTTCCTCCCTCGCCCCACCCTCCGCCAGAACCGCGAGAATGTGGTCGGCATTAATCCCAATGTTAGTTGGCATTAATCACGTACCGGGCTGCGCTCCCCTCCATTCCCTCCTCATCTGACTGTGTGTTCTCTCTGGGGCGCGTCAGAGACGGAATAGACTCGTGCGTCGAGAAGCGGATCTCGCTCCTCGCCCTTCCCGTGCTCAGGCCCCCTGCTCCTCCAGGGACATTCCGGCCACGGCTTCCCCAGCGTTCGAACTCCTTCGCGGTAGCTACTTCTTTGGGGTCAAGCGGAATCAAAACTCTAGGGCAGGGCTGGGGAAACTGTTGCTTTCCAGGTGTTGCTGGACTCCCAGCTCCCATCATTCCTGCGAATTTGCCAGGCTGGTGGGTTTGGGAGTCCCAGCAACGGAGGGCCAGGGCTCCCTGCCCTAATGCCGGACTGATTTGTGCAAGGGACGGGGGCTTTCTGCCCCGGATCTGCTTTCTGGTCGTGTAGAAGCAGGGCCGAGGCTAGGGGCGGGCCCCGCACATCCCTTGACCCCTGATCTTCGTGCCCAGGGCTGTCTGCATGCAGCCAGTGCAGAGGCTTGTCAAGAGTGATCTGCCTTCTCTGCGACTGCCTGCTCTGTGCCAGAGAAGGGGGAAGGGGAGGGGGCAAGCGCCTGCCCCCTCCCACCCTGCGGCTGCAGGCAGGCCACCTGCGATGGAACCCAGGGAAAGGGCCGCCCAGACCTGGCCAGGGCCGCCTCTGGGCTCTTTCCCTGAGCACAGGTGCAGTGTGTGTGTGTGTGTGGGGGGGGGTCCTTCCCACTCAAATGCCCCCTTTCCCACGCTCTCTTCTGAGTGGCAGTGCAAGGGAGGGCCTTTCGTGGGTAGAGAAAGCCATGCCGCTCCTCCCCAGCCAGGACATGCCTTGGCGCCAGGCTGTGCGGGGCCGGGGCCGGGGCAGAGGCGTGGCGGGCTCCCCAGGGCCCGTGCCTCCGCCCCCACGGCAGCGCGGCATTATCTTCCCCCAGCACGGTGGGGTGGAGGCCCGGCAGTGAGGAGCCCCACTCACGCCATCCGCTGTGGGTGGTTGCAGCAGCACCGCGGCCTCTCCCGGGCCCCGCGGCATTGCTGCTTGGCTCAGGCCACTGGAGAAACTTCCGGAGGCCAGAAGGGTGTGGCAGAAGGATTCCAGGCCTCTTTCTGGGGGTTGCGGAGGATCAGGCCGGGGCTTGGGAAGTGGCTGTGCAGTGCTCCGGAGCAGCTAGTTCCCGGCCTCTGCTGCAGGAGGAAAATCCGCCATTGTTTCGGAAGGGGGGCAGGCCTCCAGCCAGAGCCTCTGTCCCTGCAGAGCTGGCCTCGTTTCCTGGGCGCAGCCTCTCCGTATCTTCCTGAGGGCAAAGCAGAGGGGCAGATGCTCCATCCGCCAGACGCCGGCTTTCCCCTGCGGCCTCCCAAAGCCTTCCTCCGCCTGCCTCATGGGGCTTTGCCGGCTGCAGTGCCCCGTCCGTGGCGCTTGTCCCTCTGCCACTTTCCCGAGACAGGTTGGCCTCTGGCTGACAGCCCACTTCCGCTCTGAGCCCCTCGGAGAAGGGCGGAGGGGTGTCCTTCTCCGTGGCCCTGCCGGTGGCATTGTCCTTGGGTGCTGTTCCAGTCTGAGGGTTGTGGCAGCTCATGGCGTGGCCAGAAGACGCGCCTGCCCACGGATCCAGGACTTCAGTCCAGAGTCCCCAGCAGGATGACTTAGGACTCTGTTTGCCGGCCCGTGTTGTCCTGAACTCTGGGTGTTGCCCCAGTGAACATGAGAGGGAACTGTGTTTGTGGCCAGGAAAGATGCCTGCCAAGCCAGGCCACCACCAGGGAGTCGAGCTGGCCTGTTTGTGGCATGAATCTCAGAGAGCGGCCACCCCCACCCCCCCCAGAGTGCAAGGGAGCCTGACGGGCTTCCGCCTCTCCCCCCGGGGGCAAGCTGTGGTCCTCCAGCCTGACCTCCCCTGCGCTCCTGCTGGTGACGGGGTCATGTCCTGCTGGAAGTGCCCACTGGCGTCCCACCAGCGCTTTCCAAGCAGACCCATCCGTGGTCGGTTGCAGCAGCATCCCCAGCACCAGGCTCACCCTGGCTGAGCCTCTGGCCTGTGCGAGGGCAGAGGAACAGAGGGCAGATCCTGGGCTGCGGCGCCACGTGGATCAAGGTTCCCCGGTCAAGTCCTGGGAGCTTGCCCTCCGGCAACAGCTTCCTTGCCCACTCCTGGTGCTTCCTTAGGTGGCGAGAGGGAGCTCACCTGATACGCGGAGGCTGGGGGGCAGTGGTGGGGCAGCCGCGTTGCTCAGGCGCAGGTCTGGCTGCTCCTGCGTCTTCTAGTGACGTCCCGCCAACAGGGTGCACAGCAGTACCTGGAAGGTATCCATGGCTTGGCAAAGGACAGCTGTAGGTGGAGGTGGGGTAAGGTGTTCGGGCAATTCTAGATTTCCTGCAGAAAATCCTCAGAGGAGACTTTAAAGCAGTCACAATGGAGTGCCGAGTGGCTATCTTGACATGGCAGCTTGGCAGTGGAGCCCTTTCTGACCACCTTGTGTCCGCAGCTGTAATGAAACCGAGAAACACAGAAAGAGCGTGCGTCAGAAGGGGCCTCCCGGGCCACCTAGTCTGGCCCCGGCTCCAGCCGGCCCCGCTCACGGTGCCTCCTGCCACTCCCCTGCCCAGCAGGCACCTCGCTCTTGCGCTCTTCCACCTGCTCAGACAGCCCCGTCCATCCTGCGGAGGGGCAGGAGGGGTGGGCAGCTGGGCCGCGTCCAGGTGACCGAGTGAAGGTGCTCAGGCAGAGCACGGGAACCAGGGTGCCTTGGGAAAGGAGGGAGGCCTCTCAGTGCTTGTGGGAGGAGGTGGGGGGCTGCTTGATCTTGTCAGGGGCGACAGGCAGAATGAGCAGGCCAGGGGCCTTCAAGATGGTCTTCCAGCCATCCAGCCCTCAAGCAGCAGGAGCCACCCAGGGGTGGAGTCAAAAACTTTTTGGAAAGGGAGGGCAGAAAGAGCACTTCGGTTGGCAGTCAGCTCTTTACGTTCGGCAGAGGGTTCCCCCATGTTTCAGTGAGAATGCTGCTTTGATTTATGCTAATCTGTAGGCTGCTGAGTTTTCATAACCAGGCTGAATTTCTGACATCTCACCTCACCTGAGGCTGCTGGAGAGGAAGGAGGGGGGAAGACTCTGTTCTCAGCATCCCCAGTCTTGCAGTCTTAACGGGGAGCATTCTTGCGTTGAAGTTCAGATCTTGAGCCTGCAGACCCCTTTTCCGTGGAAGCCGTTTTCTGCTGCAAGGGGTTCGGAGTGAGGTTTGCAGGGACATGGCAGGAGGCTGGTCAGACAATCCTCAAGTCGGGAGTGTTATTCACGAGCTCCTTTCAGTTGAACAGCAAGAGAAGGGCTGGCCCAGCTTGCATATGAAGATAGCTCTTAGGCTGTGTATGGGTGGAATGGTCAACTGACGATCGGATTTCCCTGCATTAACCTCCTCCTGGCAGGCAGCCCGTGTTCAGGACGTCTCATGTCTCCCACGCTGGCTTCTGAACCTGGGCAAGTACTTTCCGGCAGGGAAGTATTCCTCTGTGATGCGCCTGTAGGGTCCAGGCAGATCCTTTTGGACTCCATCCCGCCGGCATCCCTGGGCTTCCTCTAGCACTTGGCCGGGTCCTGCAGAGCAAGCCAAGTCAGGAGGAGATCCAGAAGCGCCCCTCGGCCCCAGCCGTGCAACCAGCAGCCGGCCCCATCGAGGGGGGCCCCGGGCGCAGGAGGGGGCGCTGCCAGGCCCCATCCCTGGAGGCCAGCCCCCTCCCCTGCTCGCTGCTGCCAGCAACAGCAGTGGGCAGGCAGGAGGGGCACCCCTGTGTGGCCCACGGGGCTCGGCTCCCGGCAAGCACCCCCAAATGCTGGGAGTGCTTGCCAGGCGCTCAGGCGCAGAGCGCTGCAGGGCAGACCGGTGTCCCGGAGAACATGGCTGCCTCGCCCCTCCCTGTCACACGTGCCACTTGATGCAGTGCCATCTCTAAGCAGCTCACTTCTTCTGCGGGAAGACAAAATGGCTGCAGTTTCAAGGGTGGATCATGGGTAAATAGTCCAACACCCTTACCATTTGCCATGCTGCTTGGGGACAATGGGGGTTGTCATCTGTCACCCCAAACACCTGGAAAGCACCGGGTTGCTTCCCGCAGGGCTGGACCAGATCCATGCCTACCTTTTCGAACCAGTGCCTTATGCCACTGGTGTCTGTCTGCAGGCCTGCCCACTTTAAATTGCCTGGTTTCTTTGGATAGTTTTGCGTCTCCTTCACTGCAGATACTCCACTCAGCTGAAGTTGGCTGTATAGCAAGTTGTCGTCAGCTTCTGCACCACCCCTTATCCAAACCTCTCTGGTTGGTTGTGTAAATGGTCTCCCTGGTCTGCTCACTTCGGAGCCTGGTGCTTGGGTCATTGGAGCTGGCCTGTGCTGCCCCGGGTGCATTTTCCCAAAGAGGAGGATCACGCAAGGACAGTCTGAGTCTTGCTGGACGCACCTCCCGAGCTCGGCCTGCACGCTTCCGCTGCATCCGAATGCTAGTCAGGCCTCTGAAGCTGGGCATTTATTTCCTGGCAACGCATATTCTGGGAGCCTGGCACTCTGTGGTAGCAATGCAGCTGGTGTCCTTGAGCCAGCCAGCCAGCCAGCCAAACGCCATTGTGACTTAGCATGATGGGATCTGAAAGTGCAGGGAGAAAACGCGAGATTTCGACTCCAGCTCATTTGACCATGAATAGCCTCTATCAGAAGAGTAGGTGATCCTGTGGGGAAGCCAGTGACGCACTGGGCTCCCCAGCCCACCTGGGAGAGTTCCTGGGGTGCCCTGTGCAGCCAGGCTGGTCTCTGACGCATCACGGAGAGACCGCAGCGCACCTGTTTCAGCCTTTGCACTGGTCACCAGCGTGTTCCCGGATGCGGTGCAAGGCCTTGGTGAGGGCTTCAAAGGTCATTGCTATGGATGTCCATGGCTTAGGCCCACATTGCCTTCAGGAGCACCTTTGCTCCTTCCTCCCTGTGAAGACCCTCTGGGGATGATCTCCGGAAGGGGCTGCCCTGCGGTGACTGTCAGCCGCCCAGACGACTTCCTCGGCAGCTGTCCCTGCGCCGCAGGATGGTCTGCCAGGAGAGATCCTCTGCTTCTCCGAATCCCCGTCTTTAAGAGGGAGTTAAAAACGCCTCTCTTCTGACAGGCCTTCCAAGATGAGTTCTCATGTCAGCTTTATTTATTATGCTGTATTAGTCAACGTTGCTCCCCGCTGGTTTAATTTCTTGTAAACTGCCCAGAGCCTGTGGGGCAGTGGAGACATAGCAAGATACTACGAGTGCCGCTCTTCATCCCGCCGCAGCCTCGCAGTTTCTGAATAAGCCCAGCAACTGGCTTGCTTTATCCAACACGTGGGGCTCATCTGAGGGTGTTCCCTTGCCCTGTCCGCACCACGTGCACACGCACACACACGGCCCTGGCCGAGTTAATACTCTGGCCTCGGCGACGTCGTTTCCTGCCGGTTCACTTCTGGACCAACCATCTCTCCATCTCCTCTTCTTCTGCCAGTCCTCTTTCATCTTCCATGTGTGTTTGGAGATAATCTTCGCCTTAGAAGATGACGCAGTGGCAGCGCCTGCCTTTCTCCCTCTTCCCTCGTAGGGATGACTTGGGAGGGGACAGAGCTGATAAGCGAATTGGCAGCGATAGTAATGCAATGTTTTGATGACTGTTGCCCAGCCGGGCAGTGGGGAAGTAACCGTCTGTTTTTTGTCCTAGCCGCAGACCAACAGCAAGGCCAGTGTAGTAAGCCCAGCCAAAGACACGCCCCCAGTGCAGATGTCCATGGTATCTTCCCAGCCATGTCTTTGTCCTTGTGTGCTCTTGACTGTCGGTTCGCCAGAATGCTGCCTGTGCTGCTCTGTGTGCTGGCTTCGCCGTGCCCGTGCCCTGGCCGGGGACCGCCGCGCTCCGGCCCATGCGAGGAAGCGGGGCAGGCCGGGCGGGGGCCGGGCGGGGGCCTGCAGCTTGTCCGGCGGCCCCGCAGTCATCCCGCCTGATGCGCGACTGCGAGGGGGCGATGACAGGCTCTCGGGGGCATCCAGTCTCCAGGACAGGGAGGGAGGGCGTCCCTCCTGGTCCCGGCTGGCCCTGGGGGTTTCGGGGCTCTCCCCTTGCAGGCCCGGTGCGCTCGGCCGCTCAGCAGAAGGACCTGGTGGCTCCGCCATGCGGCTTAAGCGGCAGCAGCTGCAGTGCCGGCACTGGGTGGGGGGTGGCCAGGATGGGCCAGAAACGCTCGGCAGTGGGGCCAGTGCCAGGGCTTAGCAGGGGCTGGTGGAGACTGGATAGTTGCCCCTCACTCTGTCTCGTGCTTAGAGGCTTATTCCTCCTCTTGGGACACTTCATGATCTGAATCCCCTCCACACTGCATGCCCTCACACCCTGGTCCCCTGAGCTTCAACTCTTACGATGCTCAACCATCCCCCTTCTATTTTTACGGAAAGCTGCTCATTTCGGAAATTCTGTTTGAACCCTGTGTGTGATGCCGCACTGAGAGGGTGCCATAGCTGCCAGTTTTGTGGGGAAGTTATGAATGTCCCTCGAGAGAGAGAGAAATAAAGCCAATAGGCCCCGTGGGGGAAGCCCAGAGACAAAGCCCTACCCCGGGGCTCTTTGTTCGGGCTGCAGGGTGCGATGCCGGCTGCCCAGAATCCATCAGCAGCACCTTTCCTAGTTAGTTGCCAGGGTTTAATCAGGCTTTTTCTTGAGCATCACTAGATGTCTTCCATGCTGTGCCAAGTTCATGAGGTAAATTGGGGTGTGGAGAGGCTCATGCGTATGGCTTTGTCTCCGTGCGGTTTGGCTACTGCCGTGGGGCTTGTCGCTTCCAGAACCCTTCCTTGGTCCTGCGTGGGGAGCGGGAGCCGAGTAATCGGAGCAGCTTCTAGGATGGAGGTGTCTGTGCTTCTTCTCGTTTGTCACTTTGCTTTTCCAGCAGACGCCACCCAGCGGGAGAAAAGCTTGGAGCACGAATCTGATTCTTTATTTCTGTCCTCTTTCAATTAGGAACCACAAACAACCGTCGTCCACAATGCTAACGATGGCATAAAGGTGAGGAGAGGCTCGCCATGGCCTCCGTCTCGTCGTGCGGGGCGCACCCCCTTCCCATGCCCTCCGCTGGGCCTCCCAGGGGGCATCCGGGCGAGCAGGCTGGGTGCAGTCTGGTCTGGTCTGTGTGAGCCCCCCAGGCACTCCACCAGCCCCCGCGGACTCCCTCCGCCAGCTGGATTTCTGGCTCACGCGTTCGATAAGCCCTGCACGCGAGCGATGATGCCCGGGAGAGGGTTGGGGCAGTGCCTTGGGTCCCGGGGGGCACGGCAGCCTGCCCCCGGCAGAGTCCCGTGGGGCAGAGCAACTCCCATCCCGGCATTTTTGTGCTCTGCTCTCTCCTCTTCTTGCCACCAGCGGCCGAAGGATCATGGGGGTGGGATGAGCAACGCCCCTTTTCTCCCAAATCCCGGAGGGGGAGGTCCGCGTGGTGCCAGCAGCAGGCGGGTGGGCCGGGGGGGGCTGCTCGTCCTGGCGAGCAGTCGCAGCGTTTTGCTGCCTGCGTCCCCCTCCGTCCCAGTGAGTGCTTCTTGCTTGCATAAGGGCATGTGCCTGGTATCCTGCCCTCTCCCTCGCATGAGGCCCCTTTGGGAAAATCTCTTGAAAGAAAAGGGGTCAGACCTGCCTACAAGATGCTCGAATTTAGTGGCTTCCTGCCGCTGCCTCCGGGGTCACCCTCCCATCGCCCACTTTTTTCTGCCACACTTGATCAAGCATATCAGGATACGGATGGATGCCTGGATGCTGCTGGGCGTAATGCAACATTCGCTCAGGAGTAACTTAAAAATTGGCACTCCAGTTCCGAGCGTTGGGGTCCCAGCACTGTCCCAGTCTCAGAGCTCGAAGCCCGCACTGTCCTGCCCTCCTGCCCCACCCCATGCTGTCGGGGGCCATAAGATTCATTAATGGATTTATGACGTCTGTATTAGATTTATATTCTGCTTTTTTCCTGTAACAAACTCCAAGTGACTTTCCTCCTCCTCCTCCTGCTCGCCATCTTATCCCCACAGCAGCAGCCCTGTGAGGCCGCCTGGGCTGAGAGCCTGTGTCTGGGCCAGGGGCACCCTGCTGGCCCCGTGGCCGAGTGGGCTCCAGGGCCAGGCTGTCTGAGCCCCCGCGGCTCACTTGCCACCCCCTCAGGCCTAGCAGCCCAGCGTGGAGGCGCATCCGCAGCTAGCGCAGCAGGGTGGGCACGCCTTTCGTGGTCTCCCCCGCGGCTGGCCTCGTGAGGAGGCAGGCAAGCATGCACGGGCCTGCCGGGTCAGCGGCTGGGCCCCCGGGGCAGCCCCGTGGCTCTTGCCATGGTGGTCTGCCCACCACGAGGGCGCAGGCGGCTGCAGCCAGGTTGGTCTGCAGCTCGGCCTCCTTCCTTGCGGTTTGCATCCCTGCCACCCGCATCCTTCACACCAGGCTGCTGCTCCTGCAGACGCTGACCTTCCCCCTTCCTTCCGACTCCGCAGGGCTCCACGGAGAGCTGCAACACCACCACAGAAGACGAGGACCTGAAGGGTAGGTGTCTCAGGCGAGTGGGCGAGGGAGCGGGCTCTTCCCAGCCTCCATAGCTGCGTAACCTGAACCAGCCGGTCTTGCCAGGGATCCGCCGGGTCGGGAGGGGCCAGGTCCTGCACTTGCTGCCGCCACGCCCTGGCAAGGGTCCTGCCAGGAGGAGCCCGGCCTGAGCTGTGAGCTGACCTCGCGGCACAGTCAGCTGGCGCAGCGCCTCCAAGGGGCTGAGCCCCTGAGCAGGCAGCACCGCAGCGGGGGGCGGGGGGGCTGGGCCATATCCGGCCCCTTGAAAACGGTCCTGTCCCCTCCCCATTGTAGTCGCAGCAGAAAGCAGCTGGGGGTGAGCAGTGCTGACCGGTGGGGTGCGGCAGCAGGCTGCGTGTGGGGCAGAGTCCTCGGCCCGCCGCGTCTCGCCCCGCTGCTGGAGTGGCCGGTGGCAGACTCTGCACCTTCTGGTTGCTCAAGGAAACGACCTGAAGGAGCAGCAAAAGAGGAGCTCCTTTCTGGTGAGAAGGTCGGCTCCTCTGCCCCTTTGCACAGGGTTCCTCCACATGCTGTGCCAGCTTCGTTGTGAGGTGGACATTTGAGCTTCTGCAGGGAAAACCTGTTTGGCAAGGAATGCAGCAGCGGCTGAAAAAAGCAGTCCCGTGGGGACGCTGTGAAGTGCAGCCAGCAGCAGGCTGCTGGGGCACACGCCTCTGGGGAGAGAGCTCTCCGGGCGGGGTGGGCCAAACGGGCCGCCGTCAGAGAGCCGCGAAGGCCGCGGCAACCGGGACCCTGGAGGCCCGCGGAGTGGGCAGTGCTCGGCCAGGGCCCTGAACCGGAAGCGGCTGGCTTCGTGCCCCGCCCATGCCGACGTCACATTTCGAGGGATGCTCCAAAGCAGCTAAGGGGAGGCCACGTCTTCAGACCATGTGGCAACTTTGAAGGCCCACCGCAGGGCTGGAGCTGCAGGGAGAGGGCGCCGAAGGAGCCTCGGCCAGCCCCTTTCCCTGCGAACGGCGTTCCTTCTTTGGCAAAGCAGACGCTGAAGTCGCTGGCCAAGCCTTGTGGCAGCGCTTCCCTTCCAGGGTCACACAAACATGAAGCTGGACCATTTGGCTGAAGCTGGGCCATCTGATCCGGCAGTCTGGAGCGAGTGAGTTGCCGGACTCCTCATGCTCAGGAAGGAGCACTTTTAAGAGTTAGCAGGGGGCACTGAGCAGACGGGAAGGCGTGGCGCACCTTCCGGTGTTGGGTGAAAGAGCAGCTGTGCGGGGAAGCCGCCTGAGGCCAGCTTGGCAAGATTCACCAGCGGGATCTTTGTGCAGAATGTTCTCGTTGCTTTGCCGTGTCCCGTTCCTTTTTTTACGGACTGTCCATTGTTCTTGCTTCTGTTTCCGTGTGGCTGCGTGTGCGTGGGCACCTTTACTCTGTTGCCCTGCAAGTGCCCCCTCTCTCCAGCGGGGATGGCAGTTCAGTGCTTGAAGGACGGCGTCCCTGTGAGAGCAGAACCCAAGCCGAGTCCGTGGGGTCCCAGCTTTCGCTCTGTTACTCAGCCAGTAAGTCCAGGGGTGTCTTTCCCAGTTCCCGCTCCCTGCCTTGGCACCCCCCTCCCATTTTCTGCCTTCTCTGCTCCTGCAACCATCGCTCCGGAAAACGATTTCCATTCCAAGACTTCGGGTTTTTAATCCAAGTCATCTTCTTTCCTTGCTCATGAAACAGTTCCCAGAGAGATCCCCTTTTCTCTTCTCCTGCACCCCATAAAATGAAACCACCATCATTCCTTGTTTTCCTTTGGTAGATGCCAGTTCTTTCTTTGTGATTGTGTAGCAATTGCACATGACTCTTGATGTGATCTGTGTTGTTTCGGCACGCAAGTGTGGCTCTTGCCAGAGGGGACGCACTGGAAGCGTCATCCTGTAAGGGTTCCTGTGGCTGGCTTCTTTCCTGCAAGGAAAGCACTAGTGCAGAGACAAGCGTGAAAGCAGATGCCCAGTGACACGAGGCATGATCGCAGGGAGGTGCGTTTCGCGCCACACGCCCGCATGGGGAACCGGCTGCGAATCCCAGCTGGCTGTTCCAGTTCTCGGGCATGGAGCAGACGGCACAGTGCACCTTCTTTGCAAACGACTGTTCCTGCACCGACCTGAGAACCTTTCCAGCATGTGTAGAAAGAGCACCATATGCAAAATGGCTCTCTGGAGGGAGGTGAAAAACCAGGGCTGAGCTGAAGGGATCTCTAAAGGCTGTTTTCATGGAATTATCGAAAGGCACCCATTTCGTGCTTTCAGCGCCCCCTCCGAATCTCTGCTATTGTTTGCTCAGGTTCCAGCTGCGAGAAGCGAGCACGTGGGAGTGTCCTAGCACATTTTTTCTGGACTCCTGATCCAGGCATGGCGTGCACTCCGGCTGTTTCAAGCCCAAGAAGCGGAGGAGCGGGGCACCGCTGGAGTATTCCAGCTGGCTGGAGCTGGCTGAGCAGACATTCAGCAGAGCCCTGGTCAGTCTCCGGGCCACGAGCTGATAGGGCTGCTGACCCCCCTGTCCTGGGCTCCCAGGCAGTGGCCTTGGGCCGGAGGAGCTGCCAAGAGGGTCTGCAGGAGGGAGGCCGGACTCCCTGGCCACGTCCAGGAGGATGCTTGGAAGCACACCGGCTTTCTCGGGGGCTTCTGTCTTTAAGACGGGTCACAGCTGGGCCATTTTTAAGCAGAAAGAAAATTGGTGCAAATTGCACTGTATGGGTGGACTGAAAATGGAAAATCACATCGCTCCACCATGATCCACACAAATTGCGCTAGATCCGCATTGTTTTCTGCTTCCAGTTTGTGCAAAAAGCGCCATTTGTGCACATTTCCTTAGTGACGTCGGGCTTTCTTTTAATAGGCAGAGCACGGCCCACCTTAGAGAGGAAGCCCTGTGAGGGGGCACAGCTGGCACCATGGTCGGCCAGTGCCAGGACAGAGCCACTAACAGGATTCTTGGGGTGACTCCATTTTCACGCCCCCCCCAGCTCTGCCTGAGCTGTGAGTCCGTCTGCTCAGGGGCGGCCTGGCCCCGGTCCGACGGCTGGAAAGCGTCCTGGGGCTGAGCCGGCTGTGTCCCTGCAGTGTTGGGGCAAACAGCAGCGATCGCTTTCTTTTCTTGCTGGAAAAATCCCTCCTGCCTGGAACACAGGGGGCTTGGGCTCCGGGCAAGCAGGAGCCGTGCTCGGCCGCCACGTCCTGTCCGCTTCCTGCTGGGGAGCCCGAGGGAGCTGGAGGCCCCTCCGTGGGGCTTCCCTTGCCCGCACTGTGATTGTGAGCGGGGTGTCCATCCTGGGTCATGATTCCCTTCAGCTGCTCTTGAAGCAGCCAGCTTGCAGAACAAGGCAATGAACATGCCGGTTTTGCACGACTCGTTTTGCTGCCTGGAGTCCCATTGCACTGAGGTGGCAGGAGCTGCAAGGCAGGCGCAGCGGGTGGGACCCGCACAGGACACGGAGGCTGTGCCCCTCTTTCCACACTGCTTTGCACGTGGTCCCCAGCACCCGCTGAGCAGGGCCTGCATGAATGCGCAGGGATGAGGCCGGCAGGCGTGGTGGCACCTCCAGACGTGTCCACTCGGAGTTCCCGTCCGCTGCCTGGAGACAGGAAGCATGTGCAGGAACCTCTCAAGGATTCTTCAGCGCCCTGCGTCACTCGCGGAGCAGCGGCAGAGTTGTTCCTCACTCCTTCGGAGTCACTGAGGCAGCGCCCACAGGGCACCCAGGACGTTTCCCACCCAGGCCTTCGCCAGGCCTGGTCCTGCTCTGCTTGAGCACGGCTGTCGATTCCCCAGCATCCTTCCCGGACGATCCCGCTAAGAAAGTAGCTTTGGCGAAGAGGTGCTGGTTTGCTCCAGCACGGTTCTGGAGGACGGATGCCTGCCATGGGGTGCACATTCTCAGTGCAAAGCTATTGCCAAGTCTTTGGTTTTCTCCCGGAAAGTGGAGCTGCTGCCAAGACCTGTGAGCTGGCCTGGAAGCCCTGCCGTGTGGGGCCGGGGATCCCCACGCGCGTCCCTCGGGCGTGGCTCTGCTGATGGCTTGGGGTGGGCAGGACGACCTGCTCGATCCTTCCTCCGCTTTTGTTGTGCTGCTTGTTCACGACGCTGACGACACCTCCTTGTGGGCAGGCCTGGCTGCGAAGCCGGTCTCCATGTTGCCACCCCCTGCGAAGCCTCTTCCAAGGAAGGCCCCGAGACTCTGGAGCCGGGTGTGGGGCGTGTTCCGGGATTTCCTGTGTGCGTGGGTGTGTTTGCATGTGTTTGTGTTTTCAGTGCACTCCTTATTTTGCTTTCTGGTTTTATTTTTACTTTAACGCTTGCATTTGTTTTGCAGCAACTACTACTACCCAGTCTTGCGAAGAGAAACTTCTTGCCTGGGACAGCCCAGGGCAAACAGTGGAGTTGGATCGTGCTCAGTCGGAGCCTGTCCTAACTCCAGTAGTTCCATTTGCACTTAACAGTCCGCCATGTAAGTTAGCCACTGATTCGCAGCAGTAGCAGAGTAGACAAAGTAGCCCTGGTTTCCTGCCTCGCGCACCTTTCCTCGACCTTTGAGCCCCCTTGTCTCCCTCTCTGCTCCCTCCTCGCAGCGGCCTCTTTCTGCCAGGCTTGGCTCGGAGCAGCTCCGGGAGCTGGGCCTGCGTCCCCACGGGGGGGGCAGCTCCCTCTGACTTCCGTGGACCCGGCCGAGGAAGCCTCTCGGCAGGCCGTGCGTTCGTCAGATGCGTCCAGTCATGCTAGTTGGTCGTCGTGTCACGTTCAGCTAATCGTAATGGAATTGCTCTGGGGGAAAAGGGATTCAGTGGGTAGGTTATAGGATAGGAGAGAGGATGGCAGCTTGGCAGTTAGAACATATAATGAAGTGGGGGTCTTTCTGAACTTTCCTTTGTCCTGGATAGGACTGTTTTTGTAATGGAACGCCACATGCGAACATTTTTGGAATGGACTCTGGAAGTCCTTCTGAGCTGCCTCTGCAAGTGCTGCAGGCAGCCTCCCTGTCCCTCGAAGCGGCATTTCCCCTTTCTGTCCTTCCGAATGGCAGGCAACCCTGCCAGGCACTTCCAGCAAACTGGAGCCGGCAAAGAAACCCTCTCGGAGCCTGCACAGACGGTTCGTTGAACTCAGACTTTCTGGGAACCCCATCTTGAGCAACCATGGGCCCCACCCGTCCGGGAGTGTCTGTCCGGAGCTGGGTGCGCCTCCGAGCTGCACGCAGCCCCTGCCCTCCTGACCGCCTCATGGGGTCAAGGTCGCGCCAGGGTCCTCTGGCCCCTGCAGCCCCGTCCCACGCCTCTCCCTGCACCGGTGGGCTCTGGCTGCGCCCAGGGCCCGCCTGTGTGTCTGGAGGCAGCGGCCCTGGAGCGAGCCCTTCCACCCGCAGCCGGACCCTCTGCTGCTCGCCCTTCTGCTGTGGCGGCAGAAGGGCCCTCGCAGTTTTCCAAGGAGGCAAGGCCTGCAGAATCGGAGGGTCTCCCGGGAGCCTGTGTGCAGGCAAGGTTTGAAGCAGGCGCCCTGCCTCTGAGCCGGAGCAGGTGGAGCGGCTCCCTCGGCCGCCCATGGAGGATCCGGCCCTCTCCTCCTCCAGCTTGCCTGATGCTGGCCAGCCAGGGCCTGGCTGCAGGGGTGCCGGCTGGCGCTGACGCAGGCAAGACCCACGGGGACTGGGAAGCAGCCGCTCCCGGCATCCGGGTGTGCTTGTCCCGCTCCTGCAGCCCTGGGGCCTTCGCTCCGGCTGGGCCAGCCGCCAGTCCTGCCGGGACCCACGTGAAATGGAGACGGTGCAGAGCTCCGTTTTGGGGGAAACGGAGGGGAAAGCTCTCGTGCTTTTGCGTCTCCCCTCAGAATACAGCCCCAAGTCCCACCGGTCACCACAGCAGCATCTCCCGTGCAAGTGGGAAAAAAGCAGGGAGAGAATGAGTCCGCGTGGCATTTTGCATTTTGCGTTAGGTTTTGGCTAGCAAGGGCAGGGCCATCAGTGAGCGCCTGAGCCTGTTGGTGGGCCAGGGCTCGTTCTGCCCTGGGCTGGTGGGGGGGACGTGCGGCTGCCCCCACCTGCGCTCCACAGAGGCCTTTCCTGCGAGCACCGTGTTCGCGGCTCGTGGGTGAGACGCCGTGCACGGGAAGGGCAGCCGTTCCAGGCCAACAGGAGGCAGCGCATGGGGCAGCACTTCTGACCCGGACTTGCAACCACAGGCATTCTCGCTCCAGAGGACTTCTGGGAATGGTGGCGCATCTGCCGCAGTCCCCTCGCCACCACCCAGTGGATCTGTGGGCTCGAGGCTTGGCGTTCCTGGCGCCTGCCCGTGCTACTCGGGGAGTGGGAGGTGGCCGCGGCCAGCAGCACGGTCCACTTTCGGCCACGCGGTCGGTGCGCGTGTCTCTGGGGGCAGGCGGTAGCGCCTGCTCACTCCACTGGCATGGCCCGGCAGGAACGAATGTCTGTAGCGGGAGACGAGTGCTCCCTGGCGCTCCGGGCAGCCCTGAGGAGGGCCGGGGCTTCTGGGCAGAGCTGCAGCGGGACTGTGGGCCTCCCGTTTCTGCCTGCCTGGATCAGCACCACGTGGCGCGTCCTCGGAGAGAAGGGGCAGTGCCGAGTCTTGGGGAGCAGGCTTGGGAACCTGTAGTGCCGGAAACGGTTGTCAGTCACGCAGGCTGGCAGGGAGTGGGGTGGAGGGCAGCTGGTTCACGTGAAGGCCGCCCGGACCTGAGCTCCAGCAAAGCCAGGATCCCTGCACTCCAGCCAGATTGGCGGGACGTGGGAGCTTAATTAACCTCCTCTTCTTCTTCCTTCCTTCTTCCTTCTTCACTGATGGCCTGAGTAGTATGTGCTTCAGAGCCTCTAAAAAGGATGTTTGCACCAAGTCCCCCGAGCCCGCGAAGCCCCTTTTCCTGCTCTGTCCATGGAAATGTCTCTCGCCCGCCAGAACGGCTTCTAGGGCCCCCCATGCAGTGCTCTGGACATGTGTGGGGCCCTTGTCCCCATGCCCCTCTGCTGGGCCGTTGCTCTAGCCTGGGACTGACACGGGCATCAGAAGCATTGGCCAGCCTGCTTTTGACCCATGGGCAACGCGGTGGGGCTGGGCACGGAGCCCCCAGAAAGCCCTCGGCAGCTGGGGGGCCACCGTGCCTGGCCAGCATCCACGTTCCACGTGGTGCCAAAGCCTGGCCATCTCCCCTGCAGCTGTGGCCCAGCCTCTGCCTCCGTGCGCCTGCGCAGCCGCCAGCTGGGAAAGTGTGGTGCCTGTGCCAGCGGCTCTCCCACAAACCGTGCCGGCGCAGGACTTGGGGCGGCACAGAGGCGCAGCGCGGCATGACTGCGGGTGGAAGCGGTGTGTGGGTGCCACAGGGCAGGCCCGCAGAAACCATGCAGCAGAGGCCTCAGCATGGCCTGCAGGGAGCCCACGAGACACGCCCGGAAGCCCCCTTGGGCAGGGCCTCTTGCTGCGGGAGCGCCCCAGGATTCTGGCAAAGCAGCAGGATGGCAGCGGCTTCTGCTGCCCGTCCCGGGGTCCTCCCTCGGCTGCCTTGGCGGGGTGTCGAACTCACACCCGTGTTCCCACAGACTCTGTTGGCTGCTTTCTTAAGTGTGGGAAACTCGAGGGAGCCACCTTTGTGGTCCAGGGTGGGCACATTGCAGCTGCCCCCTGCAAAGGGCGGCCTGTGAGTCGGAGCGCAGGCCCCGCACCCAGGAGACCTCCCCGCACCTCCCCTTCCCTTGACCGGTCCCTCGCGGTGTGCGTGCCACCGTAGACCGTGGCTAACGAACCGTGCTTTGCCAGCCAGCTTCAGCACGTGGCTCTGGGGGGAGCCACGGCTCACCCTGAAGTGATGGGGACTTGGGCGCGATGGCAGGAAGACGAGGGAGAGGCGGGAAGCGCTGGAGGCGGGAGTGCGAGAGCCCAGGCGGCCGCGCCTGCCACTGGGCGACCAGAGTTATGTCCCCGTGGGGCCGCCTCCTTGCCTGCCCTCCACAGCACCGTGTCATCCAGTCGGTCTTTCCCATCAGGAGTCTGGTGTGCCAGGACCCCCGGCAGTCTGGCCCTTGGCCCTGGTGCCAACACCTTGCTGGACCGGAGCACCGGCAGGCCGTCCGTGCTGCAGGATCTCTACTGTCCCCCCTCCATGCCCCTCCTGTCCCCCAGACTCCATCCTCTGTGCTCCTGAGTAGACCGCTGTTGCTGCCGCTGCCCGAAAGGCGAGGGGACGGCCGGGAAGAGGGCCCTGCTCCTGCTCAGCAGATCCCCCCGAGGGGGCGCTGGCTTGCGGCAGGCGGTAAGCGGCCTCTCTCTTCTCGCCCGCAGTGCGCAAGCAAGAGATCATCAAGATCACAGAGCAGCTGATCGAAGCGATCAACAACGGGGACTTTGAGGCTTACACGTAAGTGGCCGGTGGGCGGGGGGGGGCACCTGCGGGCATGTCCTACAGACTCTGCACATGGCTGGTCCAATGCGTGGGGCAGAGAAAACTGCAGGAAGCCAGCAGGCCTTCTGGGGCTAATGCAAAGGAGCAAACAAAAAGGTCCAAGTTTAGCAAGTGAAATCTGGCCTTCTAGCCAGTTAAGAAAGAGCAGGAACCTGAATTTATATTTGTAAATTGATGACTGCAAACCATACTAAAGACTACCTTAGCTACTGCCTGGAGATTTTCAGCTAGTGGATGATATAGAACTGAAATAGAGTTGTAGCAATGATAATCACAGTTGTTACTTGCGAAGTCGTGTCCGACCCATCGCGACCCCATGGACAACACTCCTCCAGGCCTTCCTGTCCTCCACCACCCCCCGGAGTCCACTTAAGCTCACCCCAACTGCTTCAGGGACTCCATCCAGCCACCTCATCCTGTGCCGTCCCCTCCTTCTTTTGCCCTCTATTGTTCCCAGCATCAGGCTCTTCTCCAGGGAGTCCTTCCTTCTCATTAGGTGGCCAAAGTACTTGAGTTTCAGCTTCAGCATCTGGCCTTCTAAGGAGCAGTCGGGGTTGATCTCCTCTAGGACTGACCGGTTTCGCAGTCGTGGTTCTTATTTTGTTATGATACAGAAATAAATGCATCCTGTTTCAGATGCATATACCCATGTGCACATGCATGCATGCAAGTGAGAGTGTTTCCACTCCACGTTCCTGCAAAACCAGCCCTTGCTGTTGCCTTTGGCAGTGCCTTGCTGACTTGCCCACTTCATGTGGCAGGAGCCTAAGCAGCCTCCCCACAGAGCAGGGATGAGCAAACCAGGGGAGCGAGTGTCGCTCTGGCAGAGTCGCCCAGGTCACAGAGGAAGACGGGCATGTTCTCTTTGGAAGTCTTCCACTGGAGGAGCCAGGACCAGCCAAGCCAGAGCAAGCAGTGACCGGATCTGGGGAGGCTCCCATGTGGCACGTTCAGCCCGTGATCCTGCATGGTCTATTTATTTATTTATTTATAAAATGTGCATGCTGTCCAATTACTGACGTCTCTGGGCGGCTAACAGCATAAATAAATTGACGACCCACTCTGGCTGCAATTAATAAAATACATTAATAAAATTCAATATTAAAACTTATTAAAATATTGATTAAATAACAAGGTCTTAACCTGGCACCGAAAAACATACAATGACGGTGCCAGGTGGATCTCTCTGGGGAGCGCATTCCATAGTGGGGGCGCCACCACAGAGAAGGCCCTGCTCCAGGGCCTCTGTCTCCTAAGGTCTTTCGCGGAGGGTTCCCGGAGGAGGGCCTCTGCTGCCCGTCTCAGGTTCCTGCACTGTGTTGCTCTGTGGACAGAGACTATCCTCTGTAAAGCTATTAGATTGGCTCGAAGGTGCGTTGCATTTCTAGCTGCCGTGCTGTAAGGAAGGGTTGAGCAGGGCTCCAGTGGAGATGGAGCGGGACATCGTGGAAACTCTGCTGGGCCAAATGAAACCTCCTCCAGAGGGGCCAGGGGGCTGCAGTGTGCAGACATGGGTCTTGCTCGGCTCAGGACAGTGGCACTGAGCAATATGTACATTCCTGTTTTTGTCCTGAACTTCCATTGCCAGCAAGGTGCATGGATTTTAAAAAAGAAAACAAACTCAATTGATTGAAATAATACTCGCTGTGGCAGTCACGGTGAATGCAGCTGCAAAAAGCACTCCTCTGTTTCAGAGAGTGGGGTGGAATAGAGAGCGCCCCCAGGGCTGCTCCTGCTCCTGCTCCTTTGGGCCCTTCTTGTGGGGGCAGGGCCCATCTGGCCCGGGGCTTGCAAGCCGCCACACTCAGTTGCCCCGACCAGGGGGGTCTCCGACGGGCTGCCCTCCTGCTCGATGGCCAGGCCTGTGCTTTCCCCACGAGGGCGTGAGGCAAAGCTGCCGATGAGACGGGATTTCTCTGTTGGCTGCAGGAAGATCTGCGACCCGGGACTGACCTCATTTGAACCCGAAGCACTGGGAAACCTCGTGGAGGGAATGGACTTCCACAAGTTTTACTTTGAGAATTGTGAGTGGTAGATAACTGGCAACACCAAAATGACCCTTCACCCTGTCGGCCTAGGTAGGAAGGAACTACAGTTTTCTTTGGGGTTCAAGGCCAACACTGGACTAGGTGTCAGTGGGGAATTGATGATACATTTATCCTGTTGAACAACTTTCCTTTTGATTAGGGATGCTTCTGACATTCTCCCCATCTGGATTTCTTCCCCGAATGTGGACTTGTGAATTCCCTGGTTTTGTTTTCGAAGTGGAACCATGTCTTAGGAGTCATCTGTTGTCCTGTGTTTTGCTTTGTTTTGCTTTGCTTTTCCAAGGTGTGTGTGCAGTTTGCCACAGTGTCCTGTCCACCGGTGCCTTGTCCCCCTCTCCCTGCACGCACACATCCTGCCAGCACAGACCTGCATGCTGATAAAACACGGCAAAGAGCAGTGCTGATGTGATCGTGCGTCCAGCTTCAGCAGCTTCCTTTGGTGTGGTGGTTTCCCAGTGCATAAGGACGCATGTATGCCTTTGCAATCATGCCAGATCTGATACGCAGCCACCTCAAAACAGCCACAGTAACCTGTATGCGCTGATCCCGGCGCCCCAACCCCTCTTAACCCCTGGGCAATTTGGGAATTGGAGGCTGCTGCAGGCACCTCTGCGAGATGCCACATCAGTGGACTGATGCAGTGGTGACCACCTGTTGTGTTGATGGGTCTTTGACCGTGTCCTGTTCAGCAAATACGATGATAATATTTTGTGACTGTTGGGGACCCAGCATTGCTGTAATTGAAGATTGTCTAACTCAGCTGCTTGCTGCTTGTGCAGTGCAGCTAATTCTTTCAAGCGTGTGTTTTGGCAGAGTCTGGCATTCACCTCTTTCTGGAGGACGTTATTATATGCATACGTTTTGTTCTGAAATAGACCTTAATATTCACTGATCTACATGATTTATCTGCTTCATGGAAATTGACAAATGGTTAGCATAAATGGATTCTCTGTGCTCTTTTAACACTTAACTGATATCACAAAATTGGAAGGCTAGACCCCTCCAATAATGCCATGGATTGAGTACCACACAATATATGAACGGGTGGCCCTGAGATGCCAGCTTCAAATGGGTATTATTTGGATATGGCCTGCTTTTGTTGAAGCTGGTGGATAATTGCTAGGAACTGGTGTGCATTTCATACAAATCCACAGAAGTGCATTAAAGAGCAGGAAAAAAACAAACCCTTTAAAAGTGTTTAGGCGTTTGCAGGCACCTATGGGTGCCAGAGCGAATTGTTAATGTAGGAATGGGGAAAGTTGCAAATGAACTGAGCCGGCCGAGTGTTGGTGACAGGTGGCTGCATCCGGTTTGCTTGCTCCGGGGCTGGCACGATGCCTTCCCACAGCAGCATTCCCAGGACAGTCGATGGAAAAGCAGGGCTGGCCCCGGCCCACCCTGCTCCTTGGTAGCCCATGCTCCTGGTGGCGTTCCAGCCTGGTGGCCCAGCGAGGGAGCTGTTCATTCTGCTCTTCTGAGGAGCCTCCAGAGTGACATGCACAATGTGGAAAGGAAGCGCTGCCCTTGCAGCGCTGGGTGGGCAGAGCCCGAGACAAAGGGGGCCAGTGCTGCTGGCCATGGGCCTGGGGGAGCAGAGGAGGCGGGGCCGGGAGGGCTTGTGTGGGGAGGGGCCGGGTGCTGCACCGCGGGTTGAGGGGGGTGGAAGGAGGGCTGTGGGGCCAGGGCGGGCAGCCTGTGTGGTAGGCGGCCAGGGAGGAACCCCAGGAAGCCGTCCCGTCTCTGAGCGCTTCCTGTGTCTCCCCAGTGCTGTCCAAGAACAGCAAGCCGATCCACACGACCATCCTGAACCCGCACGTCCACGTGATTGGCGACGACGCGGCCTGCATCGCCTACATCCGCCTGACGCAGTACATTGACGGCCACGGCCGGCCCCGCACCATGCAGTCCGAGGAGACCCGCGTCTGGCACCGCCGCGACGGCAAGTGGCTGAACGTGCACTACCACTGCTCGGGGGCCCCAGCAGCGCCGCTCCAGTGAAGCCACACACGGTACGCAGGCCGGGAGGACGGCCCTCAGGGCTGCCCTTGCAGAGCCATGGAGGGCGCACTGGAGGCCTGGCCGGGCCAGGCGTGCTCAGGGGACTGGGCCGGTCCGGCTCAGCCTCCGGTGAGCCTTTCAGCAGTCGAGCACAAAGCGGCCCGATGGTATCGGGTCTGCTCTGGCGTGCCGCCCAGCCAGCTGCTCACCTCTGTCCCCACTTCGGAAGTGAGCTGCAGCCTCTCCACCCCGCCGGGCAGGCCGGCGGGTGAGCAGCTGGCGGTGGCTGGGCCCATGCCCTCCGCTCCCCTTCCCTCTGTCCCCAGGGAAGTGGCGCCATCACCCTGCGTCGTGAGGGGCGTGGCAGAAGGGCCCGCACTTGCCCTGTAGCACAGCTGCAGTGGGGCACTCGTGATGATGGGGCGGGCTGCGGCCCCTGCCCAGGCCCTCTCCCCCTCCCAGCTCATCTCTCCCCTCCTCACTGACGTTACTGCTCCCGCCCTCCTTGCCCATCCCCTTCGGCACAGCCAAGCAAGCCACGGCACTGCGGCTTAGCAAGGCCGGTCCCAACAGGGCCCTCCCCAATGGGAGCTGGCTGTCAGCGCTGGATCCGGCCAGGGAGGCGTCCGGCTGGCATTTGCATTGGGCTGAAATGGGTCGTGGGGGCTTCGCTGGTCGCCTGTCATCCTGACCCTCCTGCAGCAGGGACTGGCCTCGCCCTGTGTGTGATTCTGACCTGCCCTTTTATTTCCAGCTTCTTTGAGCACCTGGCAGGATCAGTGGCAAACCACAGGGGTGGGGGGAGTGCTGTTTGCATTTCTGGGAGGGTGTCCCTGTAATGCCATCACGATCCCAAATTAAAACCAGGCATATCTGCTCAAGCCACCCGGTGGAAACTGTCTGGCTGATCTGGCCGCATTGGTCTTCCCCTCCTCAAGCCTTCTCCCTTCTCTTACTGCAGCAGTTTTCGGAGATCCACAGCGGGAGGGCAGTATCTTCTCAGCAAGCAGCTCTGGAGTACCTGAATGACAGCGACGGTCCGACGGTCATGTTCGTTTTGACGTTTTTAAAAAATATGAATTACAAACCGGCAGCAGCCAAATGCACGAAACCCTGCATGCACCTGATGCTCGGGGCGCTGCCACCTTTCTGTTGTTTTTCCATGGATCCATCGTGTCTGTTTCTGCTGTACGAAGGTGTCTTACAACCTCAAGAGAAACCCATATTGTTTGTATAGAAGAGAGAGAATCCATGGCGGAGTGTCCAGCGCCTCCTCTCCAGGGCGGAGAATGGGCAGTGGTTTGGCGCATCTTTCAGAACCGGAGCAGAGGGAGAGGGAGAGCAGGAGCAGTGCGTGTGGCTGAGCACAAAGACCGGCACTCGGCAAGAGCACGAGCCCCCCATGTCCAGGCTCTGCCCCACCTTCGGCCAGTGAGACGTGGGCGTGGGGCTCCCCTGCACTGGTGTGGAGAAAGGGGGCAAGATGGAAGGAGGATCTTTGCGCCCCTCTTCCTTCCGGCAGACTGACTCGGGCACGAGCGCCGGTGGTGGAGATGTGCCAGTCGGCCCTGCTGACAGCCTGCACAGAAACGCGTGAGAACGTTGGAAGAGACGAGGACAAGTGGACTCGCTGTGTGGCGTGGGGACTCGCTGTGCGGATGCACCCGCTCTGACACAGGTGTGCAGCCAGCTGACAAGGGTCAGGTTTAAGGACAAATGAAGTCAGGCAGGAGGGAGTACATGAACGGCGTCTGTCTGTCTGTCTGTCTGTCTGTCTGTCTGTCTGTCTGTTTTTTCTTTCCTGTTTAGAGTAGGTGGGATCCAGAGTGCTGCAGAATATGTGCTCCTTAAGAAACCATTGAAAGCTTTGTGTCACATCCTGCCCTGAAGAGGTGCACACGCGAGCATTTGCTTCCTGTGTGGCGTGTAACTTAGTTTGCGTTTTATACTGAGAGAGAGAAATATATGCGCACCCCCGTAACTGGGGCTCGCTGGTCTCCCAGTGGGATTCGTTTTCCGACAAAACCGGCAGGCAGGAGCCAGCAGCTTCAGGGCACGTGCTTTCCCCGCTAGCGTGGCTTGACTTCTTCGGGCAGTTCCATTCAGCGATGCTTTGGCATCCCTTCCCAGCCTGCGCTGGCCGCGCCCCCAAGAACCTTTGAATCGGCGCACGCCCCGCGATGGGGGTCTGCCCTGCATCAGCCCTCTTTGCCCCCTTGCTGCCAGGGAGGGCAGCCCACGCGCCCCATTCCCTGCATTTGAACCCTCGACCGGCTCGCACTCTGGTCTCTGCTTAGTCCTCTTCCCGAACCAAGTGGGACAGAAGCCTTCCCATGAATTTCCTAGTTCAGAGCTGCACCGTTGCCGTTTCTGCAGCCCGCCCGGGAGGGGCTGCTTGCATGTCCGGGCCCTGCCTTTGCGAACCGGGGCCACGCGGTCCCTCCTTTGCTGCCTAAAGAGCACAAAGCAGAAGAGCCGGGAGGTGACTTTTGACCGAGTATAAGCGAAGCCCGTGACTCGAGCCCAAGGGACGGAAGGGAAGCAGCGCATTTCTGTTTCGCAGGGGACACCTCGGCGTAGGCTCCTGCGAACGCGAGGCCGCCTGTCCCGCAGCACTGCCCATCGCTTCTCTCCATGCAGGGAACGGGGCTCGCCCTTTGCAAAGGCTGCCTGTGCACCCCCTTCTCCGTCCTCTTCCGCCTCGGCGAGAGCGACCTGGAGAGCACGGCAGCAGGAAGGTTGCCTCAGATGGAGGGACAGGCGCTGCACGTCTGCTATAGAACATACTTAGCACCAAGCGACTGAGTGAGCACGGTAACAAAGAAAAGCCTTGCCAATTTTATTCAGGTTTTTAATAATAAAGTCACAAAGTAGGGAACAGGAAATTAATTATGCAGCTTTTTAAAATGAGACAACCTCTGCATGCTTTTAGGCCTGATCTTTCCTTGTCTCTTTATCTGAAGATTAATAATAAATCCTCTGTATTAAGTATCTGCATCTTTCAAAAAGTTTTTTTTCCTTGGAACAGTTTGAGTTGGAGTTTTTGTTTTTTGCACAGTCTTTAAAACCTGTTCTAATTTAACAAGAACCTTAGCTTGGTATGGCCATTATCAAACACAGCTTTCGATCTTTCGTGTTCTTCGTGTTCTCTTATGGGGTTAATGCAAGCATCTATAGAATATTGTATCACATTTTCAACAGGAAACAGAAGACATTCGATGCAAAACTCTGCATGACAAGAGAAATAATTGAAATCATGTTAGGTAGGCTTTTTCCTGGATGTCAGTAGGACCTTCAGAGCTTTGTTACAATGAAACCTTGAACTGAAAATATTTAATAAAATAACATTTAAATGGTGCAAACAGTTGGATAGCACTCTTGTATTTTCCAAACCACTGGGGAAATGGGCTCTTCAGAGAAAATTGCTTTCTCGAATGTGCTTAATGCATTTTGTATGTTGAGTTCCTTGTTAATTGGCACTTGGGGGAGGTCCTTGAGTGGGGGCTGGGAAGAAACTGCCTTTTGAAAAGGAAGGATGTTGGACAAGGCCTGGGATGCCGCCCAAACAGCGAGGATTCGGTGTGGGGCAAGGCATTGCTTTACTGTGGTGCTGCTCGGCCCTTTTTAACGTGAAGTTATTTTTGCTTCTCCACTGGCCGAAACCTGCAGCCCATGCCCCTCTCTCCTGCCACGGTCCAAGGTGCCTGTCAGCTGTCGGGGACGCAGCGCTGGCACTCAGCTGCACGTACAGACTTCAGAAGAGGCAAACGCACCGCACGGCCAGGAGACAGGCAGGGGAGGGGGCGCCCAGGAGACTTGCCCATCCCCACAGATCTAGCCCGAGCCAGCTGCCCACAGGCAGCCCACGAACAGGGCACAGGCACGCCAGCATCTGCCTGCCCACGTTCTCCTGCAGTGGTGCCCCAGCATCCTGCCTCTGATCCTGGAGGCAGCACAGAGCCGTCAGGAGCCACAAGCCATGGGCATCAGCCTCCTCCAAGAACTTGCCTCGCCCCCTGCAGAGCCATCTGAATTGACGGCCCGTGCAGAAATGAGCTCCGTAGTTGGAGAGGACTTGACGGCCTGCAGCCACAAGCACTGCAGCACGGTTGCCATTTCAGTGCCCATTATTCCAGGCTGGGGAGTTCATTGGGGGCTTCCCATATCCTTCTTTTTGGTTTTAACTACCCTAAATAGTCCGGTGTCTCCAGCAAATGTGGCCACTTGGCCATTCATTGCTAATTCGATACTTTATGAATAAGCTGAAAAGCACAGGCCTGTTTTACTGTGCTGCTGTTTACATACCTTCACTAGGAGAATTTGCCATTTATTCCTATTCTCTGCTTTATATTCTTTAACCAATTTCTGATCCGTAAAAGGAATCCTCTTGTTCCAAGTCAGCTAGGTTTGCTCAGGAGTCTTTGGTGAGCATCTTTGTCAAATTAAACAGTTTGACAATTAAACAGTTACGGACACTATCCTAGAACTCCACAAGGCTAGTGACATAGGACCTTTGCTCTCATCCCTTTTCATACTTGCTGCATTATCTTTTGTGTTCCATTCCGCCATTTTTTCCAGAATATACGCAATTTCACTAACCTGCACTTTCCTGAGTCTCCCAGTTCCCTTTTAAAACTTGGTGCTACGTTCACCATTCTCCAGTCCTCCTGTACAAAGGCTCATATTAGGGGCATGTTACATATTTTTCTGTGGAAGAACTCTAGGATGGATACCATTTGGGTCCAGCAAATCATTAATTTTCAGAGTGTCAATAAAGTTAAGAACTCTATTTTTTATCACTGTTACCTGCTTCAGTTCCTTAGGCCACCTTTTGGAGAACCTAAATGCAGACATAGGTATCTGTCCTGCATCTTCTGCAGTGAAGACAGATGCAAATATTTCAACCAGCTTCTCCAGTCTCTTTGTACTCCTCCAGCTGAATTGCCATCCAACAGTCCACGCACTTCCCCAGCTGATTCTCTGCTTCTAATGCATCAGGCGCGTGCCTCACCGGGGGGCCTCCTGCCCCAACACTGCAGGCTTTCCAGAGGGCATCAGGACTGGGGCCTTTCCACAGGCCCTCCGCTAGGATTGCCCTTCTTGTTTCTGTGGCTGATTGTGTTGCTGGTTTTACTGCTGTCGGCTGTGGTACAGTATTACAACATCCTGGCGTACAACCGGCTCTGTTAGTGCCCTAGATCATGGATCCTCAAACTACGGCCTGCGGGCTGCGTATGGCCTGCCATGCTCATTTATTTGGCCTGCCTCAGCTTGTGGACTCGCTCGGAGAAAACGATATGCGAGAGGGTTCAAAGGCTCTGAGCCGGCAGAGGCGTTCTTTGAAACTACATTCCCACTCACTATATGCATGCGGGGGGGGGGGGAGCCTGCGCATGCGCCAGATCCTAAGAGCCCCCTTCAACTGCACGTGTGCTGGCTCCCCCCTCCCTTGGCATGCATGCATATACGGAGCGGGAAACAGGAGAGAGATGAAGGCACTGAAAAAGGCCTGAAGGTAAGAAAAATATAACTTCTTAAATGCATTTTTAAGTAAGCGAGCCGCATCCCCGTGCTGTGGGCCAAGCCGCAGCCGCCTCGCCGAGCCCGGGGACAGCCGCTTGACAGTGGCGGCAGCTTGCCCAGAGAAGGTCGTGGCGGAGGTGCGGGAGCCGGGCCTTCCATGGGCAAGCCACGGCCGTCGAGTGGCCGCCCTGCTTCTTCCCCCCATGGCAGGGAGAGGCGGGAGGCGCCCCGCTCGGCCAGCCACAGTCCCATCCCTCCCCTCGCCTCGGGAAGAAGTCTGTACCTCCCTCCTCACAGCCCTCCTCTTCCACTCCTGCTCCCTTGGAACCAGGGTGGTGGCGAGGACTATAATTTCCATCATCCCCAACCAGCGTGGCCATTGGGAGTTGCAGTCCAAGTCATCTGGACAGTACCAGTTTTGGCAAGGTAGCACTTAAAATATGGCAGTCATTAGCTCTGCATCCAAATACAGCCATTGTGCATTGTGGGAAGTGTTTTGGGCTGACTTGCGTCAAATAATAAAGAGTGACATTAAAAGTATTTATTCTTAGTATTTTTGCTTCATTCTTTGTAAATGCCAGTTGCAATCATCAGCTGCATTATGCAAAATACTATATTTAGTGCCTCGGTTGTGTTGTAGCTCTGTCCCTTGAATATGGACATGCTCTTCCCCAGCTCATCTTGGGCTTCTCCTGCAGCCCGAGGGAGTGGAGTAAACATTTTTTAATTTTTCTAATTTTAATTAATTTTAAAATTTATTTTAATTGTAATTATTTTTAATGTGCAGTGTGCATAGGAATTCGTTCATACTTTCTTTAAACTATAGCCCGCTGTCTGCCCCCAACTGTCTGAGGGACAGTGAACTGGCCCCGTTTTAAAAGTTCGAGGACCCCTGCCCTAGGTCATCAACCTGGGATTCAGCCAACAGCTTATCAGCAGAGACCTGGGATGCCTCACCCACCGCCGCCCACTTTCCTCCTGGGTTGTCTCTCTGCCCATCCTGAGATGCGGAGGCCTCTGCACAGCTGGGTGGGAGCCGTCCTGAATGGCCAGAGGAGCACATTCAGTGGGAAAGCAAGCCCATGAGCTGTCACATCATTGGGCACATGCTCTCTGTATGTTGGCTCACCCCGGCCACTTCCGAGTGTCTGCCCCTGTGGAAGATCAACTGGTTGAGCCAGAGCGGGGCCGTGCAGAGAATGGCAACCTAAAGGTGAAAAGTCTGAGGGGGGTGATGGATGCATCCCACACATTTTCCATCTCATGTCAGAATTGTGCCCATAAACTGATTAGGATTGTCCTGGTGAACTGGCACCCATTTAAGCATCTTCTACAGTGCACCTTACAGTGCAGGACAGGCAGCCTCGACCTGTACTGGATATGGGGTTCTGATGACTAAGCTCCCACAGAAATATCTCATTTCACCTGTTAATTAGCTGGATGGTCCTACACAAACTTCTTGCTCTCTTTCTTACACCAAGACCTTCACTGATCTATACCTGCGACAGGTAAATACATGCTATTGGCTGTTGGTGTGACACGCAAATGTACCCAACGCTCACCGGAGACCCGGGCAGACTCTTCCCTCTCCCATTCAGCTCATGTACATTATTTTCCCTCACTCCTGGGTATGCGGGTTACCCCAGAACAAGAATGCTTCATATTTCATGATTCCAAGCAAACTGAACCCTACGTGGCAAAACAAACATTTTAAGAGCGCGTATTATGGCAATTTTGTTAACTGTCTCACAAAACCAGAGATGCAGGTATGGAACATGTCTGAAAACGGAGGAGGGCTTCTCGCACTCCTGCCTTGCCTAACCAGCCTCCATGCTTGAAAATTAGGATTTAGTTCCCTCCCACATCTAGAAAGTGCTAGTAAAACCCAGAATGACTTTAGTTTCTTAAATGTCTGATTTTTCAGCCTTCAGATTCTAGCCACACTTTTTTTGAATTGCAGAATCTAAACATTTTAATTTTTAAATCATATTTTCAATATAATCAGAGTATTTAGAAAATATCCCAGATTTTCAGCTAGCAAAAGACACTTAGCAAGAATCACAGGAGTTTCAATATACAGTGGTACCTTGGCTCACGAACTTAATCCGTTTCAGGACTCTGGTCGTGACCCAAATTGGTCATTGGTCATGAGCCAAGTCAAATTTGCCCATAAGGGTCAGTGTCAATAAGGTTAATCTGTCCTGCATTTTTTTTTTTTTTTTTACTCACAAAAATTTGAAGCAAAGTGACAAAGAACAACAAAGATCGTGGCCGTCTCCCCCCAACCCCTGCATGATCACTGGAGGGGTGGGGGGAGACAGCCACGATTGCAGGCACGCTGGGGGGAGGCGGGCACCGGCTTGCTCGGGCAGCGAACACGGGCAGCATCGCGGCCATCTCCCCCCGGCAGGAATGTGGGCATCACACCCACGCAGGGAAGGCGGGCGTGCTGGCGATGGCCACCCCATGCAGAGTTCATGCATGGGGTGGCCATGCAAAATTTTTATGTAATTTCTGTACACGACCCAGACTGAAGCGTTCGTGAGCTGAGCTACCACTGTATTAATACCCGTAAAATAAGCTGCAGAAATTCACCTAGTTTTAGTTGTGATTCCTGAGCAGATCGGTCCTATGAGTCTACCTGGGTTCCCAGCGATAGGAAAGAAAACGGCTCCAGACTCGGAGCTGGGGAGCCGCAGCCCCCCATCTCCCAACTTGCAGTGAGTGCGGACGGCGCCGAGCTGGCCGCTTCCCCGAGGCTGGGGCGACGACCTCGGAGAGGGGGCTCGGGGCCTTCCGCTGGCGGGTCGGTCTCATGGCGCTGGGTGGTGGGGCCGTC